CGGCCGGGGTACAGAAAGAGAAAACTGACCTATAGACAAACAAACTTGGCAACATTTAGAGAGAGAAATAGGAAGTTTGAGAAAACAAACTTAGTAAAATTTTGGAAATGTAATGCAATGCAACACAGTCGGTTAACATACAGTTAACGAATAGCCTGGTTGATTACGTTCTTCCAAAGATTGCTAAATTAGAAGTTAAGTGTGAAATTTGAGAGAGAGACAAAACACAGACACAGAGACATATAGACAGACACACAAACAGAGAGAGACAAACAGAGACACAGAGAGTGAGAGAAAACAAACTTAAATCCTCCCTGTAGGGTGGTTCAAACTTGATTTGAAGCTTTCCTGACTGCAGGAATTACTCTTTGGTTCTTTCGGTAACGTCGCCGTGTCTGTGTTGTGTCTCTCTCTAATTTAGCAATCTTTGGAAGAACGTAATCAACCAGGTTGGGTGTTGACTGTTGTGTTAGCCGAATCTCTGTGTTGTATTGCGTTATATTTCTAAGCTTACTCGGTCTGTTTTCTACCTAATGACTATTGCTTGTGTTGCAATCGAAACATCGTATTATATTATTTAATTTATTTTCTTTCTACGTGACTTTACCGAAAGAACCAAAGAGTAATTCCTGCAGTCACAAAAGCTTCAAATCTAGTTTGATTGTCATATTTACCAATTCGTTTTTTTTATTTGAATGGTCACGTTACTTTGCGTTTTCATTACGTCCAACTACCTGACCTCGAGTCACCTTCACTATGCTCCTCAGGACCTGGTGGCCTGGGTGACGGTGGGCTTCGTGCACATCCCCCACTCGGAGGACGTCCCCAACACGGCCACGTCGGGAAATGCAGTGGGCTTCTTCTTCCGGCCGTTCAACTTCTATGACGAGGACCCATCGGTGGCTTCGAGGGACGTCGTGATCCTGCGGCCAGGGCCCCTCAGCTCTGGAAAGCCTGTCGTGTCCTGGTGGACGGAACAGAGCCCCACTGAGCCCAGCGTGTGTCTGCCCAACATTCAGCCGTTATCCTACAATGGGACGCGCACTCCCGTGTAAATAGTGCAAACACAGACACCACAAATCCATCTTGCTCATCTAGAAACGAGGGTTGTTCTGGAAAAAACTTTATAACCCACCCATATATTCCATATTACTGGTAGGAAACGTAGTGGACTGGAAGCCCAACCGGGATTAATTCACAGGAGGCAGGAGATTAATTGTGGATGTCTGTCCACGTGTATCCGGACACCCGGATATATAACAAATGCGCTCCTAGTGGGCATTACTGGTAGGAAACGTAGTGGACTGGAAGCCCAACCGGGATTAATTCTCACAGGAGGCAGGGGATTAATTGTGTATGTCTGTGGATGTCTGTCCACGTGTATCCGGACATTCGGATATAAAAAATGGGAGGGGTGGGGCTGGGTGGAGAGGGGAGGGGAGCGTAGAGAGGGGCTGGGTGGGGAGGGGCTGGGTGGGGAGGGGCTGGGTGGGGAGGGGAGGGTGGGGCGGGGAGGGGCTGGGTGGGGAGGGGAGGGTGGGGCGGGGAGGGGCTGGGTGGGGAGGGGCTGGTCACCCCGTGGTGCCCTTATAAAACTCAACGTTTAACCTACTCACTACGGCTTGTGCCCGCCCTCACAGTCGGGCATATTTGCGGAATACACCACACCGCCGTTGACCCTGGCCACTGAACGAGCAAACAACGTTCCTACCAGCCCCCTCCGCAGGAATGTGTTAAATATAATGCATACTATTTTAAATGGAACACTTTACAAACCTCTATAGTTTAGAATTGTATAATTTCACTTGCCAGTCACTTAATCTGCCGACTCCAATCAAATAATGAGATGGAATATGCTCTCCATTGAATGTATTCTATTTCAATGCAAATGAGTGTGTCTTATCTGGCTATGCATAATCACGGAAGGTCATAGAATCAGAATGTTGCAACTGCTATATGCTTTTATTTGGTGCAGTGTTTTTATATACTTTTATGTAAATTACACTTTTAGTTCTCATTGTCAAAATAACCGTTTGCTCAAACATCAATCAACTCGCCTTTTGCCCGTCCAAGGACGGGTGTATTGCAGTAAATCTGAAACCTGCAAGCGGAAATCGGACCGCGACGTGATATATTCATTGCATGAATGCGTGTGCAATTTGTAAGGGCGCAGTGACACAGACCTATTTCAGTTTAAGGTTATAATCCTTTGTTCATAATGACGTCCTTTTTACTTTAATGTCTCAATAACGTTGCGGTTATCGGTGAGGGTTCTGCCTTTGTAGTGAGGGTTGTAAGTTGACGCCGAGGAGGGGGGAGGAGGCACCTCGCCCCCCCATGTGGAGTGACGTCAGCCGCTAATTATCACTAATGGTGGGGGTGCCCATTTGGAGGACGTCACCTGCTTATGATTATTAATGAGGGGGGCTGGTCGATGTGGAGTGACGTCACGAGCGTTAAGGACATTCCTAGGTGATTATAGGAGGTATGGTAGCAGATATGTGCTGCACACTGCATGTTTACTGAAATTAGTTTTTTTTTAAAATGTGTTTTAAACATTCTCTGTTAATGGGGAGTTGCCTGCTGGTGTTTTAATACTGTAAACAAAAACCTTACATTCAAAGTATTTTTTTACAATGTCATTTTTTCAAATGTACTGTATTAGTCTACTGTAATCATGATGCGTGTTCTATTCACACACGCGTGGACCGGATAAAACAGAAAAAAACACATCACAAGACGACTACTAAAAGTTAACTGGCGTGCTGTCAGCTGTAAGAACATTAAGCAGTATTCACATTAATATTCAACTAATATGCTCAACCTGTCCCATGCACAAAACAAACTTACATTCTTCATTTGAAGCTTTCGTGACTGCAGGAATCCATACTCTTTGGTTCTTTCGGTAAAGTCACGTAGGTATATATGACCCTTGGGCTACACCCATTTTAAACATTTTAAAACAGTCTGCCTCAGCAGCAGACCAGGCTTTCCCACCTGATGATGGACGCTTGTGTTGCGCCCGAAACGTGATTTATTTTATTTTATACCTACGTGACTTTACCGAAAGAATAAAAAACTATTACATCTTGACTTAAAAGCTTTCGTGAATGCAGGAATTCATATTATTTGGGTCTTTCGGTAATGTCACGTATGTAGGTTCAAAGAAAATAACAAAAAAATAACAAAAAACTACGACGTTTCGATCGCAACGCAAGCGTTCGTCATCGGGATGAAAAAAGAGGGGGACAGCTGCTGAGGCAGGCTGTTTTAAAGGTTTAAAATGGGTGTAGCCCAAGGGTCATAAACGAAGTGGGCGGGGCTAGTTATGTTAATGTAAGAAATTAGCATGTTAATGTAAGATCAGAGAGCGGCCTCCACGACGAGGGCACGGAAGTGGCTATGTTAATGTGAGAGATTAACCATGAAATGCTAATTTATTTTCTTTGAACCTATCTACGTGACTTTACCGAAAGACCCAAAGAATATAAACTATTACATGTGTCAGATATGCATCATGTTCAATAACTTATACTGCCACTGCAATTTAACTGTTTTTACACTACTAACCGTGTGTTGAATGTAGACTACTTTATTTTATTGCATGTACTTTATGGAATATTAATAAAAGCAAATGTGACCGAATGCTTTTCGTCTGATGTGGCATTGCTATTGTTTGCATATGTGTGTATGCTCATATTTGTATACGTACACGTCACACATTGCAGTCCCTTCACATCCAGTATTGGGTATTGTGGGCAACTCTCTGCTTTTTGTCAATTAGACTTAAACTTTTTCCCCACAATGTTTTAGTTTATATTTGAACATGAATATATCGCCTATGTATTTTTTAAACAAATTCCTCCATTGTGTTAAGAAATACAGAATCTCAAGAAGTTTGCATGAGAGAATTAATATTTATTGGGCATATTGTAAGTCAAACTAGCTGGTGATGCCGATAAGTACTGTATTCAACCGTGATTTGATTATGAATATTCATTCCAAGTGGTAGATCTACTAAGGGAATTTGGGGCTTCAAGCCTTGCAAAAGTATAAAATAAACTAAAAATCCCACCCATTGTACAATTGGTGCTCCAACATCACAAGGTTATTCACCACCATTGCCATGACCGCAATTACTGTATAACTGCCACCACAATAATCATCAGTGATTCATTGAATAACCAACCCCCTAGACATCACAATATAGAGCAAACGCAGTGTTTCCATGCTCAAGGTAGCGATGAGGGTCACAATCCAGTGCATTAAATTTCACATTACTATCTTGAGGGTGAGTCTTCCTCTCTCCTGCTATAACCGACCATATTTCCATTTACATTGTTTAAACCTGATCAGATCAAACCAGAACTTAAAACCCATACACCGCAGGAGAGATCGTCGTGGATTATGGCTGATAATAACGAAGAATGCATCGCAGACTCAATGCGTTTGGACTAGAAGAGGGTCCAAAAGACAACAATTGTATTCACATATTAATAATTCAAAGTTCGACTGAAATTACGCAATACTATGGTTGCAATTTGAATGTTGGCAGATGGCCAAATTCTGCCAAAGTTTTGGCAGAGCTGATAGGTGCTTTGGCAGGGTGTTTCTCTAGGGAGCAAATGTCCATCTGCCCAAATTTCAATCTGTGAGAATAACAGGACATGGTTCAGAAACAACATTGATAAAAGTTTGTAAATGTGTTTTGAGAAGTTCCCGACGACTCACTCGGAGGCTGAGGTAAGTTAAGGGCTTCCGCCAAAGGTTTATTACAAATCTTAACAGCACACAGGGGTGAACAAGTTCCCAGGGGTTAGGGGTCCCGGGCTGGGTCCCGACACAGCCGGCTGCCCTGTGCTGTCTCCTCTGCGCCGGCCGTGGGATCGGCCAACACGGCCGACCGAGGAGCACAGCCACGTCCAGCCTGGCACTGTGCCCTCTCCCCTATCCCTACCCTCTTGCCCCTGGCTCCCCGTTCCACCCTTCTCCGACCCTACTCTCCAGCTACGACCCCGCTGACGTCACGGGGTCCCCCCCCCCTTTAGCCTTGAGGAGCCGTGACGTCATTCTGCTGCCCCGAGCGCATGACGTCACGTCATCGCACTAGACAGCACACGTGTCGCCACTTCCCCATTCTACTCCTCTACAAATGCATGCCGTACCTTTGTGTGTACACATTACTACATATGCTCTGTGGATGCTTTATTATCAAGCCAAACATCATACCACCGCTTGATTTAATTCCTGACCCTAAAAATAGGGTTCATAACTATTATTACCCAAATAATATTCCGCATGGAAAGCAAAAGTAATGAGCCCCATTTGTGAACACACTGTATAGTATATATTGTATTTTATTTAGATATCTTTGCTGGTTGTGCCTAATTAATCAAAGTAAACAATGTTTAATTTTATATAGCGTCGTTCATTCAAAGTGTATCTCACAACGCTGAGGAATTACAGCTGACGCCAACAATTTCCCATGCTCTACCATCATCTGCATATTAAGATGTGCTTAGCCAGTTGAGTGCTTATGTAGTAGTTGAAACGAGGGCACCCTAGAAAAAAACCACACATTCTGAGTAGCGATCAACATGCTTCCCACTTAGCCACTTTGCAAAAGGACAACTCTTAAGTGAATTCCATCACCTTACAATACCAATAATGCGTTTACTGCATTCCTAAACTCCGTTGGGAGGTGGTCATTTAAGACTTTGTGGTATCATTCAGAAACGCTGCTTAATGATAACCAACGGTGCCACATTTGTAAAATTACCCAGTGTAATAAAAAAAAGAACACTACATGCTCCCACTCGCGGACCCCACCTTGCTAGGGCAGTGACCCCGAATTTCTCCCTCCCTTCCCTCTAAACCCAGGACCATAGAGTTTGGAGTTTCTGTGCCCCTTCCCCACGTCACGGTTGTGCTCTGTGCCAGGTTCACGTTTAAATACGATCAAAACAAATACAAAAATACCAACTGCTTGGAATGGACATTGCTCAAGATGTGTAAAATAGTTGTACAAATGTTGCAGAAATGCATTCAGTTTCTACGAAGACACGCTACAGCGAAAAGTAATGTACGGTTTTGTCCAGAGCATTGACGGACAAGTGGGCTTCAGTTTTTAAAGTGGCGAACTAAGATGTCCGTGCTCCTACCGTCGACCGAGGAGAGCACGACAGGCTCATGTTATGGAGATCCCCCCACTCTTCCACAGGATACAGACGCTCTGCCTCGGCCACAAACTCTTCCGCGACATCCAACAACAGCAGGCGATCCTACGGGCAGGTGTCCCAGAAGGGTGACAGATGGAAACCCAGACTTTATGAATGTTGTATTCAGTGGCATTTTAAAGAATGTATTATATGGTTTGTTCAAGCTTCCCCAATGCTTCCTTTATACATTCCGATTTCAGCTAGAATAGGCCGGAGACACTGCACATTGTATTACATATTGCTTAAATGGTCTCCTATGAAGTGATACAAAGTCTTTGGAAAATATCATGCCAAATTCCCAAGATATACTGTCTAACTTAACTCTATCCAAATATAAAAAAAGTCAGGATCTAGCCACAATTTACATTTCTCCCATAAACTAAAAACAAAATATCGGAATGTCTCATTAATATTCATATCAGGCACATGTCATGGAAGTGAATGACAACTACTGCTCAATGGGCAAACAATTGTACTCTTTATTTTGAGGTCTTCGACACGTGCATAAGTCAATTAAAATTAATAAATTAAGTAAAAACTCCACACGTGATACATTTAATTTTGATAGTTCCAGGAAGAGGCATTCAGCTTCTGTTTGAGGCCAAGGTTATTGCGATATGCCTTCTGGTTGCTACAGCCTATTGAGATACAGAAATATTTCTGCTAATGAATATATAAATGTTTCCCTGTGGCAGACACATCCACTCTCACATACAAACACATAACACACTTACCAAAAACCCGAAGATCCCGTGTAGCCTAAACATACTTTTGGGGCATGTGCTGTTACCGGCATGGCACACGAGGGGCTGAGTGGCCGGCACCACACCCGGGCACCAATGTCTCCCTAGTGGCTATGTTTACACATTGTATCATGTACTCATTTGAGGCTTTGTCGACCTAGGGGAGGCCTAGGACCGGTTCAGTTAATCGTCACTGGTGGTGGCCATGAGCGGGTAGCAGAACACGCGTGCCAACAAGGACACTCAATTGATTTTGATGTTGAAATTTTGTGCAAAACTAGATACTGATTTGAAGCTTTCGTGACTGCAGGAATCCATACTCTTTGGTTCTTTCGGTAAAGTCACGTAGGTATAAAATAAAGCAAATCACGACGTTTCGGGCGCAACACAAGCGTTCGTCATCAGGTGGGAAAGCATGATCTGCTGCTGAGGCAGACTGTTTTAATAGGTTTGAAATGGGTTTAGCCCAAGGGTCATAAAGAAGTGGGCGGGGCTAGTTATGTTAATGTGAGAAATTAGCATGTAACTGTCAGATAGGAGAGCGGCCTCCTCGACGAGGGCACGGAAGTGGCTATGTAAATGTGAGAGATTATCATGCTAATGTAAAATCGAAGAGTTGTGCAATCCAAAGGCATGAGAGTGCAATCAAAAGGGTGCAATCCAAAGGACATGTGAGCATGAGAGTGCAATTCAAAGGCATTGGAGTGCAATGCAAAGGACATGTGAGCGTGAATAATCTTAGAGAGAGGCATAGAGAGAGAGACAGAGTGTCGGAAATAACAGCTGACATAGGCAGGTAGGATGGAAACATCACAGTCAGTTATGTGATGTTTCCATCCTACCTACCTATGTCAGCTGTTACTTCCGACTCTGTGTGTGCGTGTCTCTCTCTCTATGCCTCTCTCTTAGATCTCTCATGCTCACATGTCCTTTGCATTGCACTCTCATGCCTTTGGATTGCACTCTCATGCTCACATGTCCTTTGGGAGAAAAAAAAAACAGTTCTGATTGAGTACAAACCAGACAGCGCTATCAACATTTTGGTGGTGAGTGTAACAGTGTTTTGCTTTTGTTTTTAAAATATAGATTGGATTCAATATATGTGCAGTGCCTGTTGTCACTGTATTCACAATACACACTCACCAGCACCACAAGGTAGCGCACCGGGGGCACATCGAGCGGGTGGAAAATAGCCGTGCGCACAGACAAATGGGTCAACATGTTCAGGGCCCTCTCTGCATTTGGTCCATCGCTCATGCTTCCTCGTGGCGTCACCGTGAGCAGCACGGTCGTCTCGCCCTCAAACCCTGCAGCACGGAGCACAATCCCACACCGGACCAGGAAGAAAACTCACGGCAATCCAGTAACGTAGCGCGTACCGCCGCTCGTTGCAGAGGTTCACGGTTAGGTTTTTAGCGGCCGCCCAAATAAATGCTGCGGGTGTATTTACCGTAAAAAAAAACCACTACGCGCCATAATAAAAGTTGTTTTTGGTTAGATCTGGTAAATATAAATGCATTGTTATCCCACAACCACACGACAGAGCCAACTAGCAAGGTTTATCACGTAAACAAAACGTGCCAATTAGTTGCTAATTCAACACACCAGTGTGTTGAGAGTAAACGACAACATTTACAATTTGAGTACGACGTTCCACTGGTGATAATAACCAGCTTGATCAGGCGATTTACCAGAATTCTGGACAAGTCCTCCTGCTTCGCGGTGGACTTGAACACATCCCGTGACATCGTTCGGGGTATGGTCCAAATATAACAAATTTGATATATGACCCGCGAAATACTCAATTGGAATCTACACAGCATTTGCAATCATTACCCCACACTGCAACAACCTCCTGAAAAAAAGTATTGCGACTGAGTGAGGCTTTCCTGGGTAAAGAAGCGTGATAATGAGTATGAACATTAAAAAAAAATACTTTGGCCAAGGCTCAGCTTCTGAAAGTGGAAGTTCGTGAGCCTTCCTGGCACCGTCTTCTCGACTGAGCCGTTTCACATTACTGTGCTGTTATAAGCGTTGCAAGCCAGTAGCGTGACCCGCCTTGAGCAGGGGGCGCCTTGCCTTGCCCCGCCACCCCCTGCTGGCCAAAGCTACGAGTCGGGGCCCCCTTGACAACCACCATCAGATATGCTTTCAACGGTGCAAAAGGACAAAAACGTATTTAAAACGCGGTTTAAATGTAATTTTACGCAAATTATTACATTTACGTTCCACGACGTTTTCTGTTCATTTAATTAGAGCGGTAACTTCATACCGCAAAAGAGATACTGCGGAGCTGCTGCGGTGGCTGCATTTTCCAGGCACGACAGCTCGAGGCCATGGGCGTAATGATGGGATTAGGCCAAGAGGAGCTGCGACCTTTCACCGAGATGCGACCGCGCGAGACAAATCAAATATCGGTGCCCCACCTCGCCGATTGCCGCACCCCCTGAGCTGATAATAATAGGTAGCAAACACCGTGGCCATTTGGAATATACAGAAAGTCCTTGTGCTTTTCTGGCAATGTAATGAGCAACGCATGCAAAACACGTGAGTTATCGCATGTCCGCGACGCAGCGCCTTTGGAGGTCAGGGTTGGCGGATCGCGCAGATTTCCTCGCGAGCCGAGAATCCCACTAACGTTGGCCACGCGGTGGCCATGAGATGGCAGTCCAGCGAATGTAATTAACAAACCTCTTTGTGTTACCTTGTTAGTCAGTGGTATACCCTCCACACGTGTGCGATTTCTTTTTGTTACTGTACTGCAAGTTTCTTGCTACACGCAGACCATTCCTTAATAAGGGGATGGCCAAACATCGAAAAGTAGGACGTTTCTGAAATTGGCTTCAGGTATTCCTGGATAAAGATGAGATTGCATTGTCACTACTGCGGTAATGTGATGATTATTTTACAATTCATTACTTTCCGTTCGTACATATGCGATTCAATTAAGGCACTAAGAGAAGTTATCATACATCAGTGAACCCGCATTGATGGAAGATAATCACATTGCGCTGGAGAAATGACCGTATAAGAAAACCAAAGAACTACTCACCAAAGTATATGGCATAACTTCTGCTATGTAGGCGAGTGGATCAATGCTTGCAAATCTACCATTGCTTTAAGAAGTCCTCACACCTTGGCAAGATCAAGTTGGCCTAATCAATTTTTCTTATTTTGTGTGTAATGAACTGAAAGTTATTGGCGCTACCTTATATACTGCAGCCACGATACAATTCTGCAATCAGTATTTGCGTAACGTATGTTATCACTGGATATTCGGTGTTTTGTTTGATCAAGCATACCATTTGTGGTAGCACGTGCTTTTAAAACCACGATTTCAGGTGCTAAAATGATGGATTTGAACATCTGATTAAACCATTGTATTAACATAGTAATGTCACTTTACAGAGTGGTCCAGATATCTTGTGATCCACAATGAATTGCCCCCGAACAATTTTTTTTTCCATTTGCTTATTCATTTGAATACAATTGCTCAAGTGGACCTAGCAACGTTGTCAAATTTCTCATAGGACATGGCATCGAATCATCCTGTGCCAAGAAAATGCCGGCTCTCATACAAACTTACTGGACCCTTAATTAGGACATTGCTAACATTTAGAAATAGAGGGGGGCACGGGGCGGGCTAAGCCCCCCCCCAAAAAAAAAAACTGGACACCTTTATTAATTCATTTTCAGTAGTTTACAAATAGAGATAATAAATACATTCATTAATTACGTCCACCCACGATTCCTAATGTGAGGGTCAACCGAACCCCTGCCGCCCCCAAACATAGAAGTCAAACTCCGCCTATGTATTAACAACAATTAATTCTATTTAATACAGTTATTACACGTTTTTAAAAATATTACTTACATTACATAACAGACCCGTTGGTATATAAACATATTAAGTTTTAAAAAAATGTAATGGGGGTCACAAGACATCTGGCACCGGTCTTTTCATAGGACAGCCACTGGTAATTATCACATAGTGGTGCTGATTAACAATAAACAAGGTGGTCCAGATGTCTTCTGGCTCCTATTGAATTCTCTAAAACGTAATATTATTTTTAAAAATACATACATAAGGTTTATTTAAAACATAAATGATTATGCAAACGAAATTTTTTTTAGGGGTCAATCAATTTGGGGTCACAAGGCATCTGGACCACCTTGTACATTGCATTGCATCAACGGTATTTTGCCAATGATATTGCAAAGCTTCAGCCTGCCAACTAGTACCACTGGTACAACACAAATGCAATAATTAATCTATTATAAAGGAGCAATAGCATTCTGAGGTAGTGACAATTAAAGGGCAATAACCTAATTTGGACAGAATCATCTTCCATCGCCACTGAACTTCTTTGTGAGTCTCGTCGTCTGGCTCTTTTCCATATTGAAGCATCTGCCACGCCTGCAAAACACAAAACAAAGCGAGTGAACAGTCCGCAGAGCTGCAGTGAGAGACGACGCATCAATAGACTTATGTTTTATGAATGACTGGTATGTTTCATTGTCCCTGTGCCTTTAATCTTCATGTCATTTTTTATGAACCAGTTAGACTAGAATTAAACATTCAAATTAAAATCCTGGAAAAAAAAAAGTAAATGCTGAATCATACATCACCCCTGCAATGTCATACAATAGATACCACTTCGTGGAAAATCATAATTTGATTTTCCTAAAGGACGGACTAAGCTGCCATAAAAATGTGGAGTGTCCACAAATGGCTGCGTCGCTTTAACACGTAGGCTTTCACGACTGTGTGAATGATGGATATGAGCACTACCCCAATGCCGATGGATTAAATTTGCATGATAAAATGTTGGGTAATTTCTGCATAGACCAAATTCTTTTGACACACTCTTTAAGCAGTAGGTGTATGAAAGTGTGTTGTTCGGAAAAATGGAAGGAACCGGAAATACACGAAGACCCAATAGAGAAGGGCTTGACGGCATAAGAGATTGATGCTTAAAATATGTGGCACTATTAGGGGGGCGTCCATAAATGACGTCACGCGATTTTTGACAATTTTTGACCCCCCCCTCCCCCCCTCGTCACACGGCGTCACAAAAAGTCAGAGCCCCCCCTCAAATATGACGTCACAAAGCTCTGCCCCCCCTCCCCCCCCAAAAAAAACCATGCTTCAAATCGCTTTAAACTATTGTCATTGTAGTGCATATTTAATGTGCCGCTGCACTCTGGTGTTGTAGGAGAAAACATTTATTAAAAAGTATATTTATTTAAGTAGAATGTGTTGTCTATATTTATTCAAGTTGTGCATTTTGATGTGAAGTCACATTTCTCAAATCCCCCCCTCCCCCCCCCGTCACACATCGTCACAAATATCTGACTCCCCCCCCCCCCCCCCCCCCATGTGCGTGACGCCATTTATGGACGACCCCTTGAGAATATTGGCACAAGACAGAGGAAAGTGGAAACAAATTACAGAAATGTACAGTGGACACCTTGGGGGATACCTGCCCATGGATCGTGATGATCACGGTCCCCTGGTGGTACATGGTGGTGATGTCCCAGGGGGTTACCTTAAGTGATTTATAAACGTGTGAAATTATGTGATACGTGAGAAGCACTGATGAATAATCATACATGAATCTGCCTATACCAATGATGGCATGCATGCACAGAGCGTTCGTTGAAAACGTTTTATACGCTTGCAGTTACTAGCGAGTTAGGATACCTCACACAATAGACAATTGGTTAAAATATTGATATTCATTTATTCATATATTTAATTCTCAGAACCATGTTGGGTCACGCAAGGGGCATAACTCTGTTGAAACAAAAAAATTACGAGGGGAGTAGCAGTAGCCAAAACAGGTTGAGAACCACTGGTGATAATGATGATGAATGAAATACAATTGATCATCGATTATCCGGGGTCCAATATTATCCGGCGGTCCCGAGCCAATCCGACAAAACCCGCTCCAAAGGCTGTAACCAGTCCGGCGATCGTAAAACACGTGGTTGTGATTAAACAAGAGCGTTGTACTGCGTACATCAACCCAGATTAGTGGTAAGCACGGTATAGTAAATTCAGTAACTTTTAACAGTATAATGTTTGCCTTTGTGCGTTTATTCATAGGAATTTCATATTGCAAACACGTTTAAAAGACGACAAAAAAACACATAACACCTAAAACATAATGTTACGTGCAAAAAAAAAATCAGCTATTTTAAATTTTGTGCTTGATAATTATCCGGCGTTTTTCTAAAAATCGGGCGCCTCTTCTTCCCCTTTCCCGAAGCCCCAAGCCGCCGGATTAATCAATGATCGACTGCGACGACGACGACGAGGAGGAGGAGGAGGCGGCGGCGCGTGTACACACAAGGTCGAGGCTCGTGTTCTCGAGGAGCGCTCCGTCAGAAGCCGCCGTGGCGTCGTCCTCTCCGTCGCCGAGCAGAGGCAGCGTCTCCGACGAGCCAGACGCGGCGCTCGAGCAGCTGCTCAGATTCTCCGTCTGCTCAAAAGATTTGTCCATCGTACGGTCGTAGAACACGGCCGCCTGGGACCTGCATGCAACGGGCAAGGGCAGCAACAAGAAGGGACATTTTTTTTTCTTTCGAATTCGGTAACAAACAGGAGCCGCAATGCGGTGTGAATACGAGACGGTGGGTCCTTAAATAACGTCACGAAACAGCCCGCAATGAGCCGCATGCGGCTCTGGAGTTACAGGTTGCCGACCCCTGCCCATGGTGAACTGGACTTCCGTGGTGAACTGGACTTCCATGGTGAACTGGACTTCCGTGGTGAACTGGACTTCCATAGTAAACTGAACTTCCATAGTAAACTGGACTTCCGTGGTGAACTGGACTTCCATAGTGAACTGGACTTCCATGGTAAACTGGATTTCCATGGTGAACTGCACTTCCATGGTGAACTGGACTTCCATGGTGAAATGGACTTCCATGGTGAACTACACTTCCATGGTAAACTGGACTTCCATGGTGAACTGGACTTCCATGGTGAACTGGACTTCCATAGTAAACTGGACTTCCATGGTGAACTGGACTTCCATAGTAAACTGGACTTCCATAATAAACTGGACTTCCATGGTGAACTGGACTCCCATTGTGAACTAGACTTCCATGGTGAACTAGACTTCCATGGTGAACTGGACTTCCATTGTGAACTAGACTTCCATGGTGAACTGGACTCCCATTGTGAACTAGACTTCCATGGTAAACTGGACTTCCATGGTGAACTAGACTTCCATGGTGAACTGGACTCCCATTGTGAACTAGACTTCCATGGTGAACTAGACTTCCATGGTGAACTGGACTTCCATGGTGAACTGGACTTTCATGGTCAGGGGTTGGCAACCAAAATAACAAGAAGAGCCATTTTCGAATTTCCAGGAGGCGCATGGGGCTCCAAAGCTGCAGGTTGACGATCCCTGGGCAAGGGCAACCCAGGAAAGATGAGTAAATTCAAAATTAAACCGGTTCATTTGAGTCCCATGCTGCTACAAGAGAACAAGTATTCAGTTAAAGCATTGGACTATAAAATAGCGTATTAACTAGAGCTGGTTGTGTATGTAGAACTTATTTCGCACCATACATAGCCAAATGCCCAATTGGAGGTGCGGGGAAAGAACAACAAAGTAAACACAAAAATGAGTTCGAAAGAAATGACTGTTCAATCGAGATTTACAAGAGCATAGCTCCAGTAGCTTCCTAATATGTATCGGAATGCAGACCGTTCCAGACGGCCACAGAATCGCATTCGAAAGCGCGCGATGCGGTATTAATTAACTCGAGCTGGTTGTGTGTAGTATTTATGGACTACGAGGCGGGTGTACTTTACCCCACCATACGCGACCTGCTAATCGACTGTGCGTGTACTGTGCTTTAGAGACAGGAGCATTTAACATCGTTTCTCCATTTTCTTCCAATTAACCTCCCCAGGAGATGGAGGGGAACCCGGGTGACCTCTGGCTTGAAAGTGCAGTGTGAGAACCATTACACTACGGCAGATGAATATTTCTACCTCGTGGGGTAGAATTCTCATTGTTGCCATCCATTTCTTTTCAAATTGGCTTTCATTGTGAATGTAAAGTTAACATTTGCTAAGTGTGTACAGTCGATACCTTAGTGTTTAACTAAAGTGTCAATGAGCTAGATCCTATCTTGATTTGAAGCTTTCGTGACTGCAGGAATCCATACTCTTTGGTTCTTTCGGTAAAGTCACGTAGGTATAAAAGGGGTGATAGCGCTAGAGTCTAGACGTTGAGCGGAAGGCAGATAAAGAAACCCCGATACTGTACATAATGGCACTACTGCAGTAAAGCTGTGAACACCACTCTCATAAAACAGTTAAATCCATGCAATATACACAATTGTCAAGTGAACCTGTGTCACCTCAACTATTAGGTCTTCAACCTGGATGTTCAAAATACCTTTCGTGTTTATCATGATGTTAAATATATTCGCTCGTCAAAGTGTTCCATTACATGGAGTATCCACGTTCTTAATGGTCAATGGTTTTCTTAGTCAAAATGTGCGCGCCACTTTGATGGAATTCAATCTGGATTCGATATGACATGGCACAACAAAAATTGCCTCTGGGGTGTTACAGTTTTTGTTTGTGACTCACGCGGCTACAGACAAGAAAACACTGCGGTCAGAGCATTTGGGCTCTAAACGTATTCAGGAACAAACTCGGCATTCAATAAACCCATCCGAGGACATTTCATTCGGTCTAGATTTAATACACAAGCAGAACGTTATCCTCGGGCTCAAGTTTCTTGACAAAACAGTGATGTTGGTAAATACAAAATAAAGCTTGCGGCATAATAGCACCGTACAAGTAGTATAATTATGCTAATACATATGAACCAAGTGTTAATGTGTGTTGCGCTATAATATATACCCAGTTTCAGCAGAATTGTAGTTACAAAATACGTGGTATTGTGTGAATAGGCATGTAACAATTCACCAAAGCAATTATTAAATTGTCGTGAATTACCATGACTCGAAACAAACATTAAACTAATTTTCAGTGGTGCAGTATATTTATTCAGGTGGTGACATTCGAAACTTCCAGGGTGGTGTATTATCATCTTGTGCTAATTCCCAGCGTTGTGTTTTAGGCTAACTTCCTTTGCCAAGGCGTTTTCTGTTTACCCCCTCACAGCTTAAAAAAAAGGAGGCGACCTGCGCTTGGCTTTCTTCAAGCTCGTCATTCTCCGTGGTGCTAATCCCTCATACTAACATCATGCTAATCCCCCAGTTACATGCTTATTTACTGTTGATATGTAAACTGCTGCTAATCCCTCACACCAACATCATGCTAGTCCCCCAGTTACACGCTAATGTATATGTTAACTCCTATGTCAAGGCGCTCTGTTCCTCCCACACAGCTTAAAAGACGCGGTCCTTGCTTGGCAGTGTTCACTCAAGCGCTGTCTTCTGGACAGTCCTGTTTCTTCACCTGATGAAGGCTACTTGTGTTGTGGCCGAAACGTCGTGATTTTTGTTGTTTTATTTTTAGCTACGTGACTTTACCGAATAGAACCAAAGAGTAACTAATCTATTCTTTTAGCCTAATGTTTCGAGTCATACTCACTTTCATGTTTTATACTGTTTCATACAGTTTGGTTTTCATACCATTCGCCTTCATGTAACATCATGCCACCTGCATATATAATCAATCGTCACACACACAATTGTATTTGACTGTTTCTATCGTGAGCTCAGGTAAATGCCAAACACGAGTAGTGGGTCATGCTTTGCAATCCACGGGACCCTGCCTCGCTCTGTACAGGGGTTGCGTTCTGAGCGAATCCGTGCAGAGTGAATCCGTGCAGAGCGAATCCGTGCAGAGTGAATCCGTGCAGAGTGAATCCGTGCAGAGTGAATCCGTGCAGAGTGAATCCAGGTGTACAGAGTACAAGGGACACTGTGTTCCAGACCTCTTCAGCCGCCCCAGATACAGTATTCTCACTCCTACCTTCTCACGAACGCACATACAGAACTCAAAAACAAGGAATTAAATGCAATACTGTATAACGATGCAATATAAAATTGTGCATGAGTATCGATTTAAAGCTATCGTGACTGCAAGGATTCATCTTCTTTGGTTCTTTCGGTAAAGTCACGTAGGATGAGAATAAAAGAATAAAATAAAATAAGACAATAAAATTCTCACGACGTTTCGGCCACAACACAAGCAGCCTTCATCAGGTGAACGAACAGAACTGTCGGGACGACAGTGCTCCAAAATTGGAGAATTTTGTCTTATTTTATTTTATTATTTTATTCTCATTATACGTGACTTTACCGAAAGAACCAAAGAAGATGTGCATGAGTACTCTCACCAATACAGGCCGTTAGTTCGTCAGGAACAGCAAGGCGACGGTGTCGGGTAAGTGTGGTTTTATTGCATCCGCACACTTAGTCCTAGGATGTTACTGCATTACACTGCGATACCCACAGTACGGAGTGCAAGTTCAGCAGAGGAGCAGACGGGGATATAAGGTCACCGTGCTCCCTTAATCAACGATGGACCGCGAAGGGCTGCCTCGCTTCTCTCTCGTGTATCCCGAAAACGTTTTCAGTTTACCTTTTGCTTGCGTCTATCTCACTTAAAGAAATATATATACTATGTACGTTGAACTTCTTTCGCACCGTACGTAGCCAACCGTGCTAAGTGGCCGTTCATAAATGACGTCACGCACCTGGCGGGGGGGGAGGGGTCAGACATTTGTGACTATGTGTGACGATGGGGGGGGGGGGGAATTTGAGAAATGTGACGTCACTTGAAGCATTTTTTTTGGGGGGGGGGGGGGCAGAGCTTCGTGACGTCATATTTGAGGGGGTCTGATTTTTGTGACGCCGTGTGACGAAGGGAGGGGGGGGGGTCAAAAATCGTCCAAAATCGCGTGACGTCATTTATGGACGGCCCCTTATCGGAGGTACGGGGGGGGGAATGACGACAAACTAAACACAAAAAGCGGTTCTAAAGAATTCGTTTTCAATGGCTAGGGCAGACTCTGGAGACTACAAATCTTGTTCGGGCATAGTTTATTCGTCAACCGAAAAGTTACTGAGATGAACGAGGGAGAGGCGAGGCAGCCAGCTCTTCCGTGGCCCTTTGTTGCGTACGGGGGGGAGGGGGGGGGGCATGGTGGCATTGTTTCCCGAACTCGACGGCTCCTCGACCACAGCCGATCAGCCCGCGGCTGCGCAGAATCCCACGTGGAGCGAGATGGAGCCGTGGGGGGGGGGGGGGTCGAGGCGCGCGGAGTCTGGGGACAGCCCCGGTTCGTGCGCGCCCTGCCCACCACCACGCCACCTTCCTCGCAACCTCCACTCCTAAATCCGTGCAGCTTCTAAGCGCACCCCGTGGTGCTTTCTGAATGTTTTTGAAGTGAAAAATAAAACACCGCGCATCTGCGAATGCGTGCAGAAAGAACCCATTCGGAGTGAGGGTCCAGGTGTATTAAAAAAAATCAAATGTGGTCTCAGATGTGCAGCGACATGGAGAACACATTCCTGCGGAGGGAGCTGGTAGGAACGTTGGGCTCCTCGGTCAATGGCCAGGGTCAACGGCGGCACCACGTGGTGTATTCCGCAAATATGCCCGAATGTGAGGGCGGGCACAAGCCGGCGTGAGTAGGTTAAACGTTGAGTTTTATAAGGGCACCACGGGGTGACCAGCCCCTCCCCACCAAGCCCCACCCCTCCCACCCCCACCCAGCCCCTCCCCACCCAGCCCCTCCCCACCCTCCCCACCCAGCCCCTCCTCACCCTCCCCACCCAGCCCCTCCCCACCCCACCCTCCCCTCCCCACCCAGCCCCTCCCTCCCCACCCAGCACCTCCTCACCTTCCCCTCTCCACCCAGCCCCACCCCTCCCATTTTTGGATGCACGACGGACGGACACAATAATCCCCTGTGGGCTGGTGTAACTAGGAGGTTCCTACCAGTAAAAGGGGAACAGTTGTCCTCACAACTATTGCATGTGTAGGGGGCAAGCAATAATCTGTGCACCCCCCCCAAGTAAAACATTATTGACAGCCCCCTTAGCTATGTATGTTGAACTTTTTTCGCAATTACAATATACCAAATTACAATATACCCAAGCACCTAATAACCACCGATTTGTGTTTATGGAGAGCTGGATTATACATTTCCGGATACCAAACCTAGGAATGTGAAAAAGATTGCGATATTTTACATACGCAAACTGCCTAACTATTGTAACTCTTGCAATTTCAAAGCAAAACATAACAAATACACTTGTGAAAGGATCCTTAAAGTTGGAACAGTGAGGGAAAAAAGTATTTGATCCCCTGCTGATTTTGTACGTTTGCCCACTGACAAAGAAATGATCAGTCTATAATTTTAATGGTAGGTTTATTTGAACAGTGAGAGACAGAATAACAACAACAAAAAATCCAGAAAAACGCATGTCAAAATTATTATAATGATCAAATACTTTTTTTCCCTCACTGTAGTTGTTTTTGTGTTGATATTTTAAGAATGCATATGCCTGAGGGTTGGAGAAGCTATATGTGAACTCTCTGGAGGCATGGCATGCACTTTAACGTGCCACACAATTGGGGTGGGAGGGGTGGGGCTGGGTGGGGAGGGTCTGGTCACCCCGTGGTGCCCTTATAAAACTCAACGTTTCACCTACTCACGCCGGCTTGTGCCCGCCCTCACAGTCGGGCATATTTGCGGAATACACCACGTGGTGCCGCCGTTGTTGACCCTGGCCATTGACCGAGCAACCCAACGTTCCGACCAGCTCCCTCCGCAGGAATGTGTTATAGATCCTCGTGTGTCAGTGTCGCTGACTCAGCAGAGCGCTTAAGAGCACAGCGCTGAGCTGCATGAGCCACCCAGAGTGGAAGAACCACTCGGCCTCTTGCATGGCTTCTCCTGGTTGCTTTGCTAACATGCTTATTTCAGACTAAGCGGATCTAATGAACGCAACAACCAGGCGGAGAGAGCCAGTTTTTACAGAAGCTCAGTGCTACTGTACAATGGGCAGTACAATATATCAGAGCCATGCCTCTCCTCCACCATCTCTCATTAAAAGCCATATAATTACGGTCACATACGGCGGATTTATTTATATATTTAAAAAGCTTCTCGCAAAGCACAAAGCTCTCCCTTGTTCTTTACTAGAGCCTCCGCGAGCACTAGCGCAGAAACTGGTTGGCGTAATGCAGACTGTGTCAAAAGTAGTGCATCAAAAATGTGAGTCAGGCTGCGCAGAAAAGGCGTGACTGGGTCACATGAAAACACTTAAAGGGCTTCATATGCCAGCACCACTCTCATGAGCCGCCATCTAGAAACCACAACCCAACAAAACTAAGTATCATAATTCACGGCAATAATTAAGTAACCCACAATGGCAGCGACAAGCTAGCTGCGGAAACGTAATCCGTAGAGGTATGCGATGCAAATTCTAAGTTGAAAATTTGTTCCGAATTAATATAAGTAGAAACCGACAAAATAAAATTAAGTGAACAAATGTGTAGGATTACAGTTTTCCCCATACATTTGTTGTCCGATGGAAATATTTGGAGCAGTGTTTCCCAATCAAAAAGCCATCTACGACGATTACCATACTTTTTCTGTGGTTGTGCTTGTTATACAGCAAAGAGTTGTCCAATGACCAGTGAAAAATATGGTGTTTTGTGGAAAAATGAATACTTGCAACAGTTCCGAAGATCACTTCCCACAGTATTGGACAGAACCACAGGTAGGGAACCACTGGTAGATAGCCTATTGAAGGGTCGCGCTCATTGCAACAGGCATTCATCTGACATCTCGATTTGGAGAGGTTTCATATTTGTCATACACTAAATGCAGCTGCATGTAATTCGTTACAACCGAGAACAGTTACAGTATATTTATCGTACGTGAAAAAACACTCAACACTTTTCATAACTGTTACATTCTATGTACTCGATTACTTTTATGAAATGACAGTAAAATTATACTTTTTCTTTTACTGCATAATCAGGAAAAACATGTCACAGGCGTCGTTTACAACTTTCACGATTGAGAAGTGAATTGTAATTGTTCCACAAGCTAAAATAACACTGACAATAGCTATGCAAGCACACGGAGTATAATGTATGTCTACAATGTGCAGAGTAAAATCTATAGTATGTGTGCACATGTATACACACGGGTTCTCTCCGCTCGTTGCGCAACACGGCTGTTAACATTCAACACGATATCCAAGCAATGCCGTGCATTCATTAGAACATGCCCTCTCGTTTAAGCACAACCACGGGTTAACAATACAAATCTGGCAAAAAGCAGAAATTGTTCACCGAATGAGCGACTTCTTCTCGCTGGTCTCCAGGTCTCCTAAACGTGCAGAGCTCAGAAAGCAGCAGGGACAGCAAATGGAGCCCACCCTGGCCATCATTGTTAATTCTGTCCTCTCCCTTGCCTCACAACACTCCAAACCAGCCGCTTAAGCTGTCTGAAATCTCTATGCAAACCTCATTAATCCCCCCCCCCCCGAGCTGATGGTTATTTCTGAAGTCTCTTACCACATGATGGGTTCCCTTTCATCTCGGTCGTTGTGCATTTTGGGACAGAAGCAGAGGGCACGCCAGATCGAGTGCGGCTGCTCCTGCATGGTTCTCGAGGCCAGAATAGGGGCCAGCACTGAGCAGCGATTTGTTACAAACTAAAAACCAACCCATTGTATGTAATTATGCACAGTGTTATCCAATGAAGTTACACTATATGGCTTGCATGTATCCAGACAGCATCTACAATCGCAACCCCCAACCACCCAAGGGCTTTAATTGTTGCAAATATGTCACTATATATCATATTCACAGCCCATACCACGAACAAAAATACATGCAAGCACAAGTTAAAACCGAATATAACAGGCCAATACTAAAACATACAGGGAGCTTGTAGCGCTGTGTTCTTTTTAAATTAACATGTCAATTATAAGGTCAATGACGTAGCAATTTGCTAACTTAAAATATCCGAAGACCCTATCGAGTAGCATGCAAGAAGATTCAGTAATTGCTTTCATAGCTTTTAAAACATCCATCTTCATAGAGTATACTTCCGTGCGATTATATTAGTGTTTACATCAAATTATAATTGAACCATTCACTCCCGAATGAGTGTAATTGTATGTTATTGTATAAGATGCCCAACTAAGCATTTCACAGAGCAGTGCATAATACTCGATACAATAGTGTGCTCTGCATCGTTTTAAAGTAAAATGCAGGCTCTGGAGATTAAAATCATTTTATATATCATATATTTGATATAAGAGTGGACTCCAACACACTGAACTCATTGTTATATGTGAACATCGATTTAAAGTGTAACAGAAATAAACTGTAGAACTAAAAAATAGACTTTTGATTGTACAAAATGCGTGCAGATTTCTGTTCGCGCGCGGGGGGGGGGGGTTATCTGAATGCATGCAACATCCACAATCAACACAAAGATAACAAGTCATTATTAAAACAAGTCCTAGATTTCTTTCAATTTTATTTCCAAAATAAGCGTGTGAAAGGCATATCATGGAGCTTAATCAATAATTCCCTTTTTCAACAAAATCTTAAATTAGAATCTGTACGCTGTGCTTTATACGCCAAAACATGTTACGTTGCTTCATTGTGTGGGTTTGCTGTGAAGTAAATGTTTTGTTTGCCGAGCTAAATTAAATATAATATACCTCGATAGTCTACTATGTAGTAAGCTGGACAGTAATTACCGAGCCACAGCAATTCAATAGCTTTTCATCTACAACACTGGCCTGGTGTTCATATTATTGGTAGCATTAAATTATAACAAAAATGTACACACACACTGATGACAATGAAATGTCAAGAAACTGATGTACCGCTTCTAATATAGTTACTGCATATAGTTGCAAAATATAATTCCGTAAAATCAACAGGTATTAGTAACGGTTAGCGTTCTCCAAGAGTTGTGATAAGTATATTAGTTTGTGCACATCAAATAAATTAAAACAACAAAGACAAAGATCCCCCATATAGCCTTAACGACTATAGCTTACACATTAACATACCCTTTAGGTTACACTGAAATTCCTTATGCATAAAGAGCGGGTGTGCTGCTTACAGATGAAAAAAAACACCTTGTGGACAAGATGATTTCTCATCCTGTTATCTGAGAAAATAAAATAATTGTATCCACTAAAAGTAAATAGCAAATATAAGTATTTAGCATGTGTGATCGGGCCGAGTCAGACAGCAGCAACAGCTTCATCTGCAGAATGACATTTCACCCTCAAACCATCACAGAACAGATGAACCTGCCACAGGACGCCTCTTTATTGATAATTTTCCGAGAATAGGAAGAATTTCTCGCTCGCTGGCAGGCAATTCCAGGTACTTCCTCTTCACACAATAAAACGATAGGAAGATGCGGAAGAGGTGTGGTGTATTTGTGTTCTCTGCTGCACCTTGCTGCTGTGACGGCATCGGCGGAAACGTGCCAACAGCAGCAGCTAAACATCGTAATTATCACCTTCATGTTATCATTATCATATGCTATTCGTTGTGCACGATTGCACTTTATTTTTGCGCGCGGTTGCAATTAACTTTGCTCAGTCATTGTTAGCCGGTGCGGTCAGGACGGGATTCTTTTTTCATTCCTCCTGCTCTATGCCCCTGTACCGTTCCCGTTCCGCTGTAATGTGCACTGATGCCTACTTTACTGAAGGGCGATATTGGCACATCAAATGAAGATTTATTGATATGCATTATTATTAATCTCTTCATAATCATGATGAAAAAATGAGTAGGCTTCAGCCTTTACAGCAAATGTTTCGTCATCTTCATCATCATTAGCCACTCTCTATCCATTGCTATATAAAGACCCCCACATGCAATCCCCATCTCTCATGATCCGGGGATAATCAATTTTAGTCTTGAACATTAGTTGATCTAAACTTGTTGTGGTTGTCCTCTCCGACACATTCTCTTCTTTCGATGCCATTCCATCGCTAGTGTCATCCACCCATAGGGCAAATGTCCACGCGAGTCACACACAAGCTGCACTGGAGGTGAGTGTGTGGATGATGCAGATTTGTGAAACTTCCAAAACCACGAGTGAGGAATTGGGAATTCATTAAGTGTGCATGTAAACCCATATATGCAGACATTTTAGCGTGATTTCATTGTGCTAGAATTCCTGTTATTGCACTCTGTGGGAATTCCAGTTTCCTTTTGCATGCAAAACAATAATAAAAATTCGACCTGCCTAATATTCTGATGCAGAACTCTCCAAAAATGTTTTGACACATTAGTTTTTCTTAAAAACAAAAATTATTATCAGCGGTAGCAACAACAGCATTATAATAATCACAATAATCGTAAGTGACATCAGCATTTCGATTTGAAGCTTTCGCGACTGCAAGGATTCATCTTCTTTGGTTCTTTCTACGTGACTTTACCGAAAGAACCAAAGAAGATGGCATCAGCACGATGACTGTCATTGTCATCCTCATCATTCTCCTCATTCTGTTATTTGTGGGAAATTTCGGACAATGGGATACATCAACCAATGATGGATTTGGATCCACAAATAACATAATTTGTCGATACAATGTTTGCAGATAAGAAGAGTTTCATTACGCATCTGTATTAAACACAGTATGACCATATTCTTAGTTCTTTCGGTAAAGTCACGTTGAAGGGAAACAACAAAATAATAAAATATATATAAAACAATACAAATTCTCACGACGTTTCGACCATAACACAAACGGTCGTCTTCAGGTGTGTGACGACCGTTTGTGTTATGGTCGAAACGTCGTGAGAATTGTTTTATTGTTTTATATATATATTTTATTATTTTGTTGTTTCCCTTCAACGTGACTTTACCGAAAGAACTAAGAATATGAATTACTGCAGTCACGAAAGCTTTAAAACAGTATGACCATTTACATTATTCTTTCACAAATCCTATGCAGCAGGTGTGTAAGATATTCATGAGATAGTAAATATATATGATCTGGAAATGACAACCTGAAACAAATACACCAGCCATTTGTCCATCCATTATTCCATCCATTATTACCCTTGCACATGTTGCAATTCATAGCACTTTGAAGCCCTGGCAATTCTCGACAAATCTAGCACTCATAGCAGTATTAAGCCCTGGCAATTCTCGACAAAGCATGTTATTTTTCTCCAATCACTGTGTTTTCGACAATGTCATCAAAGAGCCTTCACAAAACAAAATGGTATCCTTATATCAGGTCACTGGCTTGATACTATTTTTACAACTTAAACAAAGGAGACCAAATCATAGGTTTGAAAAAAGTCGAATATCAATCTGGCTAACACCTTGATTAAAAGTTCAATATACTATACAACACGTATTCGAAAGTCTGGCAAAGGACTGAAGAAATGTGTCCATATCGTCATTATCAGTAAAAATATTAAGTGTATTAAACACGCCCTTAAATGCACATTCACTATGTCAGACGACAAACCAGAAAAAAAACACTGCGGATAATTACTTCTGCGAGTCACATTTCATAATTCGCTGCAGATTTAGCTACAACGCTTTGCTATATTAGCACACGTACTGTATTAAGATAGGCTGATGACGTATCTGTTGTCCCTTTATTTTGCATGGGTCTTCTCACACTCTTGGTTTCCTCCGACGCAAACACAACATTCAATACACCTGCTCTGCCACAATTCCCGAGGAAGGAACATTCCTAAGATCCCCTGAATAAAATAGTATCAGAGAGTAAAGAACTGTACACGGAGAAGTGGGGGAGAGGTGTCGAGGATAAGGAGGGGGTTTATATGAACGACCGCGTTAGGAGTCAAATTATCAAGGCGTTCAAGGTTGGAATTTGACATTCATCAACACTGACAGAGGTTGGCAAACCTCAACTGGAATCCTTTGCCATGCTCTCCTCGAACATTGACAATGACACTTGACGACCTACAACACGCACAGAATGTACAACCTAAAAACAACACTTTCGTGGGTAGAATGTCTCATTGTTATCACTGATGCAACATTAACTGCATGGCCCTGAAAATTCAATGCACATTACATTCTTGTGGTAAGGCTGCTCAGGAAGTTCCTGCCGTCATGTTTGTAGACGTTCACTATCTTTGCACGTGTGGGTCAATGTATGACAGGTCAATTGAACCAAATTTGATCATCTTAAAATGTAGGGAGTATCTATTTAAAAGGACTACGTCTTGACTGCTTACACTGCACCAAAGTGTTTACCAAGCTGCAATACACAGTCAACCACGAAACTGCAATGCTTTTAGCAGGTGTGCTTCTTTGAATGAATATTATATTATTTATAGACTGTAGATAGGCCACAAGAGGTGAAATGATAACCACACTTTACTCCATAGCAATTAACGAGTTTTTAAGAAAATGTAAATTGGTTTAAATGGAAATAACAAGATGGAAATGTGTATTTGATCAGAAGTATACGCCTTATGATTGCCAATGGAAATGACAGAATTGTAGGTTGTGAAAAAATAATACATGTATAAAGACATCAATATTTTTAACACGTAGGCTTTCGCGACCAATATAATCCATAAGAGGTTTTTTTTTTGGGTTAGATCACGTAAATATGTTACATTACATTATTTTTGTGATAATTATTTTCTAATTGCACCTTATGGATCAAATGTATTTAAATGCTTACAGCATCTTGAAATGTGTGTCGCGATGTGGCTGAACTTGTATGCTATATAAATCCTAGTTGTAATTTAAGAGCGATCCTACGCACATCCATTGAGGTGTTCTTTGCTGTTTACTTAAATCAGTAGATAATTTACTAAACATGATTAGCTTGTTTGGTGTAAACACTTAAATACCAATCATTCACACTATATATAATCGTTCACACTAAAGTGTAAAAAAAAACAATTATGCGTGATTTATCATTTGCACACATTTTAAAAACCAGGCTCTGCACTGTGCGTTGCAACTTATTTCAGGAATTTCAAGCATAGCTTAATGAGCTTATTCATCTGCACCTTATTGAAGGGGAAAAAAACCAATAGCCCTAACAAAGCTATAGCTCTATGAGTAACTCATTCATACTTTCCTTGTCACACACACCTTGTTTGCAGCTTGCAATGAGCATCACTATGTGGAGAATCAACAGTGATTGTCCTATGGAGGGAATGACCCCTACCATAAGAATATGGAATTTCCACCACTGGCTCACAAGGACTGCCAGTGGAGACAAGCCCTTCCCCCTACTCGTATGCGCAAGGGAGAAAACGTTGACTTTTTGTTGAATGAAAGCCAAGCGCAGATAACCTTGTCTAGGGGGTACCTCATTTCTTCTCGTCACTCGGCACCTTGACATTAACCCTGTGCCAAGCGGTGGCCAGCACGCCACGCAGGTTCCAGATGGGTGCAAATGAGTCGGGCTGCACATTGTAAGCGCTGTCCACCGCCTTGCAGACGATCTCCAGGCTGCGCTGTCCGTTCGGGATGGGTGCCGTCAGGCTCCACAGCTTCCAGGCCCACGCGCGACCCTCGTCCTGCGGTGCTGAGTCGTTGGAGGGCGGTAGCAGCTCCGCCGTCTGCCACGTGCGCCCGCCGTCCAGCGACACGTCCACACGCACCACGCTGCGCCCGCCGCCGCTCCATGCATATCCGCGCACCGTCACCTCATCCGCATTCTCCGTCAGCTCCGTGCCATCCACAGGCTCCGTGATGGCCGACTGCACCGGCAGCTCCTGGGCCGGCGAGGATCGGGGGGTGGGGTTGTGTGGGGGATATTAAAGGATCGAGTGAGCAGGGCAAAGGGTGCAGAGGCAAATTCCTCATCTGTCCTTTTCAACAAGTGAGAAACAGCATTCATAGATATTTATTTATTCAGTTAAGGCCCACTGAACAATAAAACTCTTTTTTCAGAAGCGACCTGCCCATACATGATAGCACATGCAGACTAAAAATATATAGGTGTCATGGTCGGGATCGAACCCGCGACCTCCTGCATACCAAGTGATGTAGTTAACATCTCATCACCCTGGTGCTCCATAGGGAGGAAGTGCGCCCGAGCGGTCGTCCACCGCAGAGATCGAATTACGGAATCTGCTCATGTGTAAGTGCTAGGTGGATTGTTGCGTGTGGAATTGTGAGAGATGGCGACAGCTTTGCCAGGCCTTCATCCAACGCTAGATTTATGATGGCTGATGATGACGATGAAATGTTATGCAAGGGAGATATGGGCGTGAGGTTTAGAGAACATCTCAAAATGAGCCAACGCCAAATAAATCACACCATCTTTGTCAATAACGATGCCTCATAACTAATAAATGTCCTGATAGTACATCAGATTTAGGCAATAGTCCTTCTAAGATACAGAAAGAAGACTGCCCAGACTGATTGAAAGAGACCAGATTTTACAGTGTGGTACCTTGACAAGGCTGGGAGATCTGAAGATAGTTGACATATAATAATTTTATTATTAGATGTTGGGTAGAAAGCAAATGCCTTTTGAAAGTGATTGGTTAAATGTCACCATCTCCAAGACTCTCCTTGCTACTCAGTAAAAGTTTCCTGGATTAATTAATTACATCATGACATCAATTGGCCACCCCCTCATACTCTACATACACATATTTCTGGCTTAATATAAAAAAATACTAATATTAAAAAAAATACTATTTCACTCTAACGTAGGCAGCAGAGGGCAGTGAGGAAAAATAAATTTTCATACTGTATAATAATAGGGTTTTTCCCCCTTTTTTCTGGCAACAAAACTGTAACCTTTTTACAAGGAATCATGTGTGCATTAACCACAATGCAAAAAAAACACTGATAATATATGCATTGTCCTTGAAACTGATTGGTCCACACCAGATACGGCTTTCTTTGCGCATCATCTCAATTGGACCAATCAGTTTCAAGGACAATGCATACATTATCAGTGTTTTTTGTTTGCATTTTAACCACAAGTATTGTGGTTATAATGCACACATGATTGCTTGTAAAAAGGTTTCAGTTTTGTTGCCAGAAAAAAGGGAAAAAAACATATTATTATATTTTGGTACTGGCAAAGGAGGTCTAATGATGTCATACTGTACTTTTATACTCCTATGTCTATGCCCCTTGCCTTCAGTAAACCCGCATTTATCAGCATGAAGTGTGGTCACATAACCCGCCATAACCCACAGAGTGTGAGGATGCCCTTATCCAGCAGTGGACAGACGCGACGACCGACGATATAAAGGTCAGTGGAACATCAAACAGCTCGGCTGGCTGCAGATGGAAGCTGTGGCGAAGCTGCGACGCACGACGGGCTGGACTCGGGTATAATGCCGGCACCTGTATGGCTGGGGCAGTTTTGTAGTCGACGGTGTCCCAGTCGACGGAAGGTGAGAAGCCCTTGTAGTCGTTCTGCTGCCAGTGGCTGAGACTCTCGTCATGACTGAGCAGCACGCGGCCCAGCCATTTGACGTTGCGGGCGCCCACGATGCCGGGCACGATGGCGCGCAGCGGGAAGCCGTGATCACGGGGCAACTCCTCGCCGTTCATCTCGTAGGCGAGCAGCACGTCGGCACGGCGGTCCAGGGCCTTGTGCAGCGGCACAGACGCCCCGTACGCGCTGCCAGTCACGTCCTTGTCCAGGCCCTCAAATTGCACATGCCCGTTCTGACACACGCACAAAGCAACGCAGTCAAGAATGGTTGGCGACAATGTATATACGTACAAATGTCTCCCAGCTCAAGCGAGTATTTGTGGGAGAGTGTCTTTGTTAGTGGGGGGGGGGGGGGGGTAATTCCACATTTCTACGGAAAGGGTCAAATCTAACTACTTATTTAATAAAGCCTGGAGAGATGATGGGTTAAGTAAACTGCTGATGGAGATTCGAACTCGCAACCTTTCAAATGAGAGTAAAATTCTCATACTTGGCTAAATTACAACTGCAGTGAAAAAGTAAATACAAAGTTCTGTCAGTTGGACATGTTTTGAGAAGGAGAAAGAATGGCAGGTGAATTAAAATACATTAGGATAATCTTTAGCATTTTGTGATTCATATGTTTATTACTTAGTTACATTTAAATTATAGAAGACTACTACCAAACCACGAATTGTAACACATTAAGGATACATGTCAATATTTTTATGTAATATAATTTAAATAAAATGTATTTACAAAATGAATCATTAAAGTTGGTCAACGCTTACAAAAATGAGATTTATTGCCATAACATTTTGTGCGGTGCTTGGTCATCTGCCTAATGGCACATTAACCTTGCTACATTTGCCAACCCACTTACACCACAAGTGGATTTGCATAATCAAACCCCAGCCCTCAGCACTCCCAACAAGAACGTTAACCCTTTTCCATTCCGAGATGTCTACAAGTCCCGTTCACCTCAGAATCTCGGAACGCGCAAGCGGCGCAGAGTTAAATTTATTCAGAGAGGCCTAGCGCCGCTGCTATCGACATTGTACTCACCGCATATAACTGTAGCATAAGGACGCACGCGATGATAGCTGGCGCCAAACTGTGCCGCACACCCTCCCGCATGGCTTTGTGGGAGCCCCGGTGCCGACAAAGTTACTTTATTTTTTATTCTGCTTTCAATTTGATGATATACAGGTACGCCATCAGAACGGAATCAGAATAATAACTGATGACGTACACGAACGTCATCGGAACGGGAAAGAGTTAAGAAACCTTGACGACCAACTTAGCACCGCCACATTTTCACCTGCGGAAGCTGATCTTCTTTCACGCCGGCATAGAGCAGCACATCGCGCAGAAGCACCCCACCCCAGCGAGCCGTCCCGATAGCCGCTATGCCCCACTCCAGGCCCTTCACTTGCCGCACGCGGTTCATCTCCGTACGGCGGTTTCCCGCGCACTGAAGCGTAGCGACCACCTCGTGCTTCTTGAATTTGCTCTTCAGGTCGTGCAGCGAGAGGCTGATGGGCCTCTTCATGCCAAGCCCCTGAACCTCGAGGCGATACGTCTCTGGGTCGATTACGGGCACCGGCAGGTGGTTGCGCTTGAAGAAGATCGCGTTCGGGGTGAGGTACGTGTCCGCCAGCAGCTGCGACGGCGGCTCGGCGTTGAAGGGCTTGAGGCTGTTGATTCGGAGAATCGGTAGTCGCGCAGGATCAGTGGAGTACGGGTCAGAGAGGTCCAAAGACGCCGCCGTAACGGAGCTCTGGTCCAAGCGGCCGATGCGGTACTCCTCCAGGATCTCCAGCACGTGTTCGTTGTTGTGAACGGCGTACATGGCCCAGAACGGCTCCAAGGCCCCGCCGGCTGCCAGCAGAATCTTGTCCCCGCCCGGGTGCAGCTCCACAAAGGCGGTGATGTCATACACACCACCCTTGTAGGACACCCAGATCTTGTCCGAGGGAGTGCGGTGCTTGGCCACCTCCGCCTCTGTGTAGATCGGCAGCTCTGTCACTGCGACCGATTCGATGGCTTTCACAGGCATCTCTGCATCTGAGCTGCTGGGCATCAGGGCTGCCTTTTCCTTGGCTTGAGACACCTGCTTGTATGACAATCAAACAACCGACGCGATGACGGTCGCTGAATGTTCATTTTCACTGAAGCATTTGTTCCCTCTGTCTGTAAAAACACCTCTCTAGTACCACTAAAAGTACCGCCCCATCTTTTATGAAAGCAGAAAGACACTCTTACTAGGCTCCAGCTTGGTACTACTCACGTAACTAAGATCATATTGAGAATGTGAACCCTAATTGAACTGATCCGATCCAAGATTCTATGAATCATAGCTGGATCGATAGTTGTTGTATTTGAATTCTTGTCCAATAATTTATTTGATATTATAAGGAAATACTAAGAAAAGCAACGTGCATTAGCTATATTATTGTATTTATTTACATTATAAAATCACGTATTTATCAAGAATATTCTGCTTCGGGATGTTTAGCGAATTTTATTCATGAATGTTTTTCAGGTGCAAGGAAAGTAGAGCACCAGGCTAAAACTGACACGTGATTTAGTTTAACGCTCAAAGGTCCATTCAGACAGGTTTATGAATCCATGTGCCCTACTGATATCCACTTGCCACTTCACAGCCCAGCAAGTTTTGGAATCGCAGACAGAAATCTACCTGATCCATCAACCCTTGCCTCCAAAGTGTTGAATTTTAAGCATTGACCAACATTTCACAATGAAGGGGAAACAATTCATGAAATGTATCGCAGCCTCTGTCCCATCATAGATCTCACGTGCTCCACAAAAAGAAGCACATACATTGGATAAATCTTCGCTGCAATGGGTAAAAATTAAGCTTAATTATTTTAAACCTACCTACCTAACATTGAGTTCTGCTGCACGCACGATTGTAACATTGATAAATAGGACCACAAACATCTAACAGATGGTGCTTTGTAAAGATTTGTTGTTGGCTTAGATCATTGCTGCTGGTAAGTAGGAACACTGTGTCAACTCATCTCAAAACCCCTGTGTTCATGTTCGAGCATCAGATGCCAATCATAGGCTCTGAGAAACCTCAGTTAAAATAAATGAAGCTTACTGTTGCCTGCGTTACACAACCAGCTTTCACACTTATGGAGTTTCAAGAGCAGTGTTTACACAACGTCTGCCCTAGATCAAATTTTCAGTTTGATCTCAGATATAACAAATGCTCCTACTGGTCATCACTTTTTTTTCCTGGGCTCAGCTATTGCACCATCACCTACAAGTCCTGCATTTTGTTTAGTGTGGTGGCTAACCTGACCTGGCAGTCCTGTTAGAGAAATAGGTGTGTATTATTACATTGATATATTCCATTCGCCGTGGTTATTACAAACTGCGAGTTGTCAGCATGAAGCCAGTGTGTAGTTTGGAATAAAGATTTTCAGGTAGGGTCAAAGTTCACCTGTCGACGTGAAGTGTTTAGAGATAAAAAAACATACTTGCCTTTGTCAAAATATCACCAGTTTTTTTTTAAGTTTTGCACTGGAAATGCATCTGTATATTGATGCGATGCTACGCATATATTATTGACAAGTGAAACATTGAGACGTATTAATGCACTCACATGTAAGTTCTGATACAGTCCCAGAGCCATAACTGTACCCACACCAAGGGCAGTCCCCAGCAGGATGACGTGACGCCGTGGGCCTGTCCCATGCTCCGACTCGGCGCTGCCTGTGCTGTAGTGAGCTGCCGATGCCTGCATGCCAGCAGTCACCCGTGGAGAGGCGGCCGGAGCCAAGCACCTGCAATCACAGTCGTGCTACAGTAAAGAACGAGTCTTTGTGGGTATAAAATAATTGGTACGGTACACAAAATTCAAAAACTAGTATCTTGGACTAAAGGCGAATTACCGAAATTATCAACAGGTGTATATCGGATTAATTGCTTATGTGGCAGATGCTATATTGGAAAGACGGGACGTAACATCAGCGTAAGACTAAAAGAACACCAAAGAAATATTAAATTATCTCAAACACAACTGCCGGCAGTAGCAGAACATGCTTGCCAACAAGGCCACTCAATTGATTTTGATAACATTGAAGTGTTGTGTAAAACGAATTATTACTGGCCAAGACTAATTAGAGAATCCATAGAAAATTTAGAGAAATACAAATAACTCTAATAGCTCTGAAAGCTCCAGGCTTAGTGCGGCCTGGAAGGGTATTATTAAATAATACATATTACAATTCCTTATAGGGGAAACACATACTAATTGACTGATTACTAACGTAGTATATAATTACAATAACCCCCTCTCCGCCACCTCTGATTTCTGCACCTGATTGGGTATAGTGATTGGGTTCAGTTATTAAATAATACACAATGTTGTGGATTCATACTCTTTAGTTCTATTCGGTAAAGTCACGTAGGTAAAAATAAAATAACAAAAATCACGACGTTTCGGCCACAACACAAGTGGCCTTCATCAGGTGAAGTGGCTGTCTTCACTCCAACGCTGTCCTCTGGACAGTCTGGTCCCTTCACCTGATGAAGGCCACTTGTGTTGTGGCCGAAACGTCATGATTTTTGTTATTTTATTTTTACCTACGTGACTTTACCGAATAGAACCAAAGAGTATGGATTCTTGCAGTCACGAAAGCTTCAAATCTAGAAGTTGTGGATTCACTCTTCAACACACCGGTGGGCTAAAGTGGTGAACTATTTGTCTTGTCAACGTGACACTTTTTTGCTGATTGGCCGTGTCGGGTGGTGGAGGGTTACGGCACATTTATAAATAACGCGATCTAACCCAAAACCTTTCTTATAAATAATACACATTACAACTAATTGCTAATCTACAATTGATTACTAATCATAACATTTAACTGATTACTAATCTGTTATATAATTAAAATACCCCCCCTCCACCTCTGATCTCTGCACCTGATGGGGTTAAATCATGACGTCACCCTGCTGCTCTATTTAAGACAGGGAGCAGATGTAGGGCTTCACTATTCTGGCAAATTTCCCGATGATGCTGGATGTAATTACCAGCGAAACGTCGTACTCAAAAATTGAAAATGTTGTGGATTCTCTCTTCAACACACCGGTGGGCTAAAGTAGTCAACTATTTGTATTTTGTCAATGTGACACATTTTTTACTGATTGGCCGTGTCAGGTGGTGGAGGGTTGCAAGACATTTATACTGGTAGGAAACGTAGTGGACTGGAAGCCCAACCAGGATTAATTCACAGGCGGCAGGGGATTAATTGTGTATGTCTGTGGATGTCTGTCCACGTGGGAGGGGTGGGACTGGGTGGAGAGGGGAGGGTAGGGAGGGGCTGGGTGGGGAGGTGCTGGGTGGGGAGGGGAGGGTGGGGAGGGGCTGGGTGGGGAGGGTGGGGGGTGGGAGAGGTGGGGCTGGGTGGGGTAGGGCTGGGTGGGGAGGGGCTGATCACTCTGTGGTGCCCTTATATGGACTGGAAGCCCAACCGGGATTAATTCACAGGAGGCAGGGGATTAATTGTGTATGTCTGTCCACGTGTATCCGGACACCCGGATATATAAAAACATCGCCACCTAGCGCCCATTTATACTGGTACTGGTAGGAAACGTAGTGGACTGCAAGCCCAACCGGGATTAATTCTCACAAGAGGCAGGGGATTAATTGTGTATGTCTGTGGATGTCTGTCCACGTGTATCCGGACATTTGGATATAAAAAATGGGAGGGGTGGGGCTGGGTGGAGAGGGGAGGGTAGGGAGGGGCTGGATGGGGAGGGGAGGGAGGGGAGGGGCTGGGTGGAGAGGGGCTGGGTGGGGGGTGGGAGGAGCGGGGCTGGGTGGGGAGGGGCTGGTCACCCCGTGGTACCCTTATAAAACTCAACGTTTAACCTACTCACGCCAGCTTGTGCCCGCCCTCACAGTCGGCCATATTTGCGGAATACACCACGTGGTGCCGCCGTTGACCCTGGCCACTGACCGAGCAACCAACGTTCCTACCAGCCCCCTCTGCAGGAATGTGTTAAATTAACACGATCCAACCCAAAAACCTTTATTATGAATAAAATAATTACGCACACGAAAGTACAGCGTACACACAATCTGTGCATGCAATAGGTCGCTGACATTGGCCTACCAACTCGAACAGCCTAGGGTCAAACTGGTGTGTACATTTTGACAGGTTTCAATATTTAAGGTCAGGGTACATTTCTTGAGTAAAACACTTTGTCATCATGTACTTGGAATGTGCCTGGGGTTTTATGATGTATTATTTTTAACTGCTGCGAGTTTAGACTAGTCGAATACACATTGTGCTAGGCCACCCTTTACTGAAATTTTAAGATGATGGCTGCCAACTGTTCTTCCTCAGTGCACTGCTGCCTCTAATATTTGACATGATTAATAATCATCCTCGTTCAGATGAGTTAATTTCATCCCGTCATAGCCAGTCACGCTTTGGTCTTTGGTGGGTAGTCGTGGTCATCATCATGCTTGATTATTTTTGTACACTCAGTCACCAGAAACTAAAATAAATAACTACACGCTAAGTTTACAGATATTTTTTATGACTAATTTAATTTGCAAAATGAACATTGCCGAATACAGATTGCCAAGCTTCTGAAACGCAAGAGACACTATGCGGGCACACGAAAAAAGCTGAATGCGCAAGTCTCACACCAAACACATGACCATTTCGGGTCTTAATTGATGGTTCACGCTTACGGTGGCTTTCGTCTCCCCCCTCCTCTTTTCCGAACATAGATGGACTCGTCCATCTGAATAACTGCCAAATCGCTCTCCGTAGTGCTAATGTTAAAATAAAAAAACGCCACTTTTTTCAAATTTTCTTGCTGTGGTTTTCACACCTGATGATTGCTTGTGTCGCAGTAGAAACGTCGTGAGAATTTTATTGTTTTATATTTTTATTATTTTATTGTTTCCCTTCTACGTGACTTTACCGAAAGAACAAGGAATATGAATCCCTGCAGTCACGAAAGCTTTAAATCAAAATGTATCATGTTATTTTAAAAAGGAGAGAAGTGTTGTGCAGGACTCGTAATATTAGTATTCTTTATGTGGTTTTAATACCTCCACTTTTGTGCAGAGATCAACACCACAACCAGTCATGAAACATCGTACAATCTTGAGAGCATTAAGTAATATTGTGTCAATCAGAAAACAAATCACAGAATTGGTATGGAGAGTAGAATTAATACGTGAATGTAAATTATATTTAGTTAATACAAACAATCACTGCAAAGTTAGTTAAAATTTGCAAGCCACACTGGTAAAATGGCCAATATATAATTAGCTGGCCCTCATATTTTTAAGTTAACTTCACGCAAACTTTAGTTGATCACTCACTGATGCAAAAAATATGTTTAAGAGTAAAATTACTATTATCTTTAAATGTTTTTATTTGCAAATTACGTCAAATCAGTGTTAAATGATAAAATATACAATACGCCACTATTGGATGAAACAAAACTATATGTCCAAAATATTTTATCCTGTTTGAAATATTGACCATTGGTATAATGTTCATGGGCAAAAACAAATAACAGGAAATTTTAAATATTCCTGACAACTAACAGTATAAACCCTTACTGTACCCCTTCTAAGTATGAACATGGTTCCTGATATTTATCCTCCACTGTCATGTGAAACCTGTAAAACAAATATTCAGATTTAGTCGCTGTGGTCTTAGAAATCAGAGAGAACTGAGTAAGGCCCCCATGAGTGGTGCACTGTTACAATAACCCATTTCAAAAGTGTTCAGAAGAAGTCGTATTACTAGTTTTCATCCTAAAGTAAAACTCAACATTTCCCAATAACATTGCCTCGAACGGAAAAACGTGTAATAGGCGACATTTTTGGCAAAAGCTCTCTTTCCTAGCACGTGAATGACGAATGTGTTGCGTTTGTGCTATCTTTGCTTGTGCACAACTGCCAATGCAGTATCAACAAATAATGTGTTCACCTAAAACATTTTCCCTGGTCAGGTCCATGAGCCACATCAGAATTGATATTCACTGACAAAACCCTTCAGCCATAAAACTTCCATGATGGGTACAATCAAGCCTGCCTTATCTAAATGTCACTTAAAACATGTAGTTGGTTCAAATAAAGGAAAAGTGGCCAGACACTACAGGGTCTCAATAATATATCAGAAGAACAAGCATAAAAATGCTCTGACCAGCTCAGTCAATTCCACTTGTACCAATATAGGATAAAACAATACTTTGCTAACTCCCATTTTTTGTTGTTTCATTATGCTTCAAAGCTTTTATTCCACGGCCACCCACATCAGTGGTGTGTGAAATTTGAACTGATCTTGGGCATTCCCCTTTATCAACCTACATTGACCAGTGTGGTGAAATATGGTCAAAACAAAACCCACAGCCGACATGGTATGGGGAGGTCTTAATCATACGGGTGGATTAAAGGGATGTAAATTACTATTCGTTTTGTATAAATGACAAGACTTTAAATTGCAGCCCTCCCCTTTTCCTCCATCCTTCACAATGCCTCCACCCACTCTTTACCAAGACGCATGTAAGAATGAAACGTAATGCAATACAATAATGAGGATGACTTCGGAGTTCCTTACCTAATTGATGGTCCACAGACTTGTCCACTTACAAGGCGTGCATGCTTCAATATCTGCAGCATGGCTGTGCTAAAATATGTAAAAGATACAAAATGTTATTTTCGATATTTACTTTAAATGCAATCTTCTACTGAACTGCCTGAAATTTGTATTTGAAATAGAAGATGCAAACGTGGCTAGATACCAGAGCAATTCCAACACTGTCTGAAGATAAAGCCCTCAATGCTTTCGTGAATGTTATTCCAACACTCTTTCAGTTTGGCAATTTTTCAGATAAGACTCCATGTTTCTTATGCAGAATACAACATAGTGATCGTGCAGGACTGTTTATCTCTAACACCACAGTATAAATGCACGAAGGTGCAATCTAAAATGAAGTATTTTATTATTGTCAACGTGTCTCCCCATACAGATGAGCAGTGAGAGATGCTCTGCTTCATTTGTGGCTCTGAACCGACACTGCAATTTCATATTTCTTCCAGTCAACCACTTCCCAAAAGGGGGTACTCATTTGTCGACCCCCTAAAACAAATGGGTTGAGTTGTACCCTGGTCAGGATTTTAAGTTTTGCTGCTTCCGATCGTTAGTTAAGCAATGCACAAAGAGATCATTTTGGCCAAGTTTGAAAATACTTATAGAATACATTCAACCTTTATCTGTTGCACATGTGAAACTCTGTATGTGACGCTCTATTTGTCATGTGCACTTATTTTAGAATGTATGCTAGCTACACTCGTTTAGTGCTTGTCAGAAAAGGCCAAAACTGATCTGCGTCACGCAACCTTGTTCACAACAGGTCTACACTGCACACAACCAGTGAAAAATAAAAACAAAAGCCAGATTCCAAAATTACTGCAAGAGCAAGGGTAAATGCCATATTTACACAAACGAATACCTTACCTGTTTAAGCAGGTTACGGGGGTCTCTGTGGTGGCTGCACTGACTGGAATGGAAAAAAAACACAAGAATGCACTCCCATTGTGAGCCATGCAGGAATTTTATTTCACAGCCGAACTTTGCACAGCAAAATTAAGAAAAGCTTCTGTGTCATCCCACCAAGACCTGTCGAAAACAATGTGGACCATTGCACAATTAACTGAATGCATTTGTAGTGCGCAAACTCTCAAAGATTTACACACCTTTTTGTGAGGAGCTGTCTGGAGTATAATAATACAATGAAAGAGAAGATGGAAACGATGGGATTGGGAGCATTGGGCAATTAATTAAATTGAAGTGTCAGAGGATGTAAAGAAGAGTGATCTGAGCATGGAGAGAAGACATTTTTTATGACAACTTCCCTACCTCTGTCCAACTAAGTAGTACAAATGGGTACACCAGTCAATTCATTGGTAGGTTGCAAGTGTTGGGGTTTAGCGTTAATACTCCCACCTATTCGAAGATCTCTGGCCAGCGTGCAAGAGTATGGGCTCTCTATATTAATGTATTGGTGGTACATCAGTGTGCAGTATAAAAAAGCTAATTTTTCGCAATTATTGTTTTATTTCCCCGTGATTTGCAACCCCGATCAGAAAATCTTGCGAGGTGTGTCAAAATCAGTTCTCGTGATGTTAACGCAATCGGAAGACGAATGGTATGAGCAGCCGAACACGAAGCTTTACATTCTGTTGCCGTATAGCTGTTGCCAAGTCTGATGACGATTAGCCCCATATTCCAAGGGCAGACATGACTCGTGCCTTAGGCTTGATCGGACGGTTCCTCATTCAACGGACCCAAATCAACGGTCAATATTGACCTTTTTTTAGGAAGTCTCGGTAGATTGAATAAACTTACAAACCACGTCAAACTTGGCGACAGGGTCAATTAAATACTGATAAGAAGATTTGCTATTCAAATTTAGGTTTTAGACTGTTTTAGGAAGACAGGTGTTTTATGCTGCGCCAGTATACCGTCAACATGTCCATATGTCCCTCTATTGGAGGCTCTTCTGCTAGTAATGGCATGAGTAAGACATTTAAGGGGTGCACCTTTATCTTTAATAATATAATCAGTATGATCACACAAGTTGTAAATTAGATTGATACGACACGATTTGTATTTTATCCAACTAAAGTAAAACCTAAGGTTAGTTTGTCATGTATTTAACCTGGGTTCACAAACCTGAATTAGAATGCATTTAAAAACATTACTAAAACAAGCACATCAGGGGTTTTAGAACACCAATCGCAGCCAAACGCGTGATCCCAAATGTCAACATGAAGCTATCTATGTTGTTTCACTGTTATACAGTTCTAGAGATACAAGGATGGCACTTGTGAACTTAACATCACTCACAATGCATCCTCAGAATGGCCCTGAAGTCTGAACTTAAACACTTCGGAGCACCGAGGGCTCATGGATAAGGGCGGGTACTCAATTGGGGACTTAAACCAACTTCGAGGCTCTTCAGCTCTCTCCAAAGTACACAACATGCAGCCAGTGGTTCCGCTTGAGCAACGCGCAGAAAGGAAGCATCTAAGTCCCAAACCATTTAATCGTGTCCTATACTCGCTTCATTACAACGCCTCCAATGTTTTAAACAGTCTCAAGTTAATTCTGTAGTCCATGCATTTTGCCCAAATGCTCGACCGCGCATGCACACATTGTACAGAGCTGCAAACAATAACTCCGTGGTATTAATACGGAAAAACACTTCGGTGGTGCACAGGCTTGATGCTGAGTAGGGCAGTATCCTGTTATTGTCAATAAACATGAATCTGCCAGTTTCACTAAAAATGACGTGGCTATCTACGGGGTACAGTACGATACCGAGTGCTGTCAGTATTCATTTGCTAACAGTGTAGACTGGAAAGGTACAAGGCTGTATTATACAGTCACAATGCTTGTGTGTAAAAAGCAAGGCTTTATATGGCACATGTACAGCCTCTGCGCACTGTGGATGTTATATGACCATACTTGACCACGTTGGTCAGTGCGAACTGATAAAGGTGGGGAGCATGAGAGAGGTGGGGCCATATAAGTATAGTACAGTACAACTATGGATTTTGCTGAAATGCCCTCTGCTGCACAAAATAATGCGTGGCGTACAGACTGTGAAGGGACCAGGATACGTGGCGTCCGTGTGAGTGGAATGCAGAAATGTGTAACATTGGAATTCATGACTGGAGTATTGTACCTTTCTCATGCCTACTATCAAGTCTACGTGGCAGACTGCAAAGTAAAGTAATTTACAAAGTGGTACTTTATAGCCTACACCCAGAAATAACACGTAACGTCACTTCAAAAGTTGCAGTCACATCAAGAAGCATAGGACATAAGGTTTGCAGTTAAAGCAAACATACTGTACACAACTTGGGTGACATCTGAAGCTGAGTGGTAACTGAAGTAGAGTAGTATCTGAATCAGTGATATCTGAATCAGTGATATCTGAATCAGTGGTATCTGAAGCGGAGTGGTATCTAAAGCGGAGTGGTATATGAATCACTGTGGTATCTGAATCATATTGATATCTGAAGCTGGGTGGTAACTGAAGTAGAGTGGTATCTGAATCATAATGGTATCTGAATCAGTGATATCTGAATCAGTGGTATGTGAATCAGTGGTATCTGAAGCTGGGTGGTAACTGAACCAGAGTGAAACCCGAAGTAATAGCTGAAGCGTGCACACACTTCCACCTATCCACGCACTTCAGTCTGAACAGCAGCAGCGTGCAACGTGGACACACAGTACGCACGTGGGCACACAGTACGCACGTGGGCACACAGTACGCACGTGGGCACACAGTACGCACGTGGGCACACAGTATGCACGTGGGCGCTTGCTTCAACAATGCTATTACAGGTACTGTAGTATACTGTATATAACCCCGCAGGCGTAACCCTGGCAGCGTTGAAGGATACGTTGCAAACAGAAACAACAGCCGCAATTGGCGAATGACGTCACCACTTCGCTTGTGCCAGGCTAGGTGCACCTTGAGGCTACATGAAGTGTGGAAGGCTCGCTGCTGGCAGGTCACGGAACAGACCCAAGTGTCATGGGTTTGAATGACTGAGATGACCGTCAGACATTCAACCCGTAACATCAACTTGCTGCGTTGTATCCGCCCGGCGCTCCGCCCGTTGTCGTGAGCGTCGGTCCTCGGCCCTCCGTTGTTGTTGTTGTTGGGAGGGCGACTGCCTCCACAACTCCCCAGTGCCTCAATGTGCACCTAGCCTGGCACTGCCCCGTCAGCGTCCTTCACGAGCCTTCTCCACAGAGGCCGAACTTGTCACCGCTGGTCCCGGTCATAGTCAAGTCAAGTCAGCTCCACATCCTTCATGTACCACACGAGCCCTCATCTAGCCCATGCAATGCCCGTTTGGGCCCCCCCCCTCTATCCGGCCAAACAAGAAGCTGAAGCTTCTGACACAACAACAAACATCCCACGTATAGCCTTAACAGACCTGTTGAGGCAAGTGATGTAAGCGACGCACAGACACAAGACACGCGCCTTCTCCACCCCGCTGAAAGTATTATTTGCGCTTCCTCCTGTATTCTACGAACGCAGCCCAACAGCAGCAGCAATAACAACAACAGCAACCTAAACCCAACAACAACAACAACAGCCGACACGTACCGGCAGTCTCGTGTGCAATGCAAATCACGTAATGAGTGCGACAAAGAGGGTACTCACAAGGCCCCTGTGTGACCGTATCACACTACTGGTACTGTGTGGTCAGTCCCTGGCAGTATATCCCCACAAACAACACCCCCCCACCTACCCGCATCGTGGTTGCGCTCACTGCCACCTAGCGGTGGCTGCCACGTGTCGTGATTGGTCAATTCAGACTGCGGCCCCCCTCTCAGCCAGATTGGGAAATACCATTGGCTGGGGTAGGCAGGGGGGGGGCTGCCTTTGGCTCATGACCTTTAGTGAAAGGCCCAAAACGAAGATGAATGGGTTTGATTTTCCACGAAGTTCATGTGTCCACCCTAAATCGCATGCACTGCACAAAACATGAAGCTAGTTTTGTTTTGCCAAGTAAGACCCACTGAGCTATATAGCTCTTTTTCAGAAGCGACCTGACCACAAATAATAGCTCAACGAAGTGGCTTATCATGTGTAAATGTACAGCGGCCAAATTCTCTAAACACATGTTTCTAAATGAGGAGGGAAAAACCGGAAGACCCGGAGAAAAATCCACATGACCACAGGGAGAACATGCAAACTCCAAATATGTGGTCGTCGGGGTCAGGATCAAACCCACTGGTTCCTGTATACCAGAAGAGATAGCTAACATCTCGCCACCATACCGGTAGGTGCCTGATGCACAAATGGAAAAAAAAAACCTCTCCAGTAGTGTGCGACTGTGGTCATCCAGAACAGACCATACAACATATAAAGACGCAATGCCCGATCCACAAATATGAAGGAGACATCAAAGCAATACACTCAGCTGCTCCTGACGCGATTAGCTGGCCTTACCACCTGAAAGTTAAATTGTAGTTGTTCTTCCGCATCTACATCAGCCATACGCAAGACGAAGATTACCTTATTCTGTTTAGTAGATGATTGTTCGTTTTCCGTGGTTGATCTTTGATCTCGAGAGCTCGCAGTTATTGTTTTAGAAAGTGTTGGTGTGGGTGGAAAGTGGCACCGCATATAGACAGGGGCATTTGTCGTGATTGAATTAACTTTTTCACTGTGCTCGTACACTATTGTGTATTTTTTTTCATTGCCCGCCACTGTTGTTTGCCCTTTTAAGAAATTACATTCCAGGTATTTTGTACTGCAGCGCAGTAGGTTTTACAGACTTTGCAGCACTGATTTATAGTAGTGTAAAGCCTGTACCTCCGATTGACACGGTTGGTTACGTACGGTGCGAAATAAGTGCAGCATACATACGTATAGGCTCCTTGCAATAATAGGATGTGAGAGAGACCCATTGTACCCGGAGAAATCCCATGCATACGAGGGTATAACTCTCAAAGCTAGCTCAGGCGTGATCACGAAGCAAATTGTTGTACTGCTTTTTGTGCACATTGGCCCCCATGAGACCGGGATCTCTTTTAGCTGCCTTTTCTCATGACTTTCTCAGTTTAGTAGATGATTATTGATGAGTTGTGATAGTCTGTTAAAAATATATACAAGTGGCAGTATAATGCATATAGAACTCTGAATTTTAACAACAATAAACAGTCTTGATTTGAAGCTTTCGTGACTGCAGGAATCCATACTCTTTGGTTCTTTCGGTAAAGTCACGTAGCTATAAAATAAATCACGACGTTTCGGGCGCAACACAAGCGTCCATCAGCAGGTGGGAAAGCATGGTCTGCTGCTGAGGCAGACTGTTTTAAAAGGTTTGAAATGGGTGTAGCTCGAGGCAGCAGACCATGCTTTCCCACCTGATGATGGGACGCTTGTGTTGCGCCCGAAACGTCGTGATTGATTTTATTTTATACCTACGTGACTTTACCGAAAGAACCAAAAAGTAACAATAAACAGTTCAATTATTGCCATAGACTACATTGTGTCTTTTTTCACGCAACAATGTGTCAACATTCATCCACCAATCCTTGCCTTCTCCACGTCAAACAACATCGGTCAGCTGAAGCAATTTTAGTAAAATAAGTGAATTCATATATCGCTTTAATTTAGTATACAATACAATGTCTACAGGATGCCGGTTGTACATTCGAACCATGTTGTTGCCATAACCTAAGTTAAACAGTTGCCTCAAGTGAATTGTACTTTGAGCTTTGGGCACACTGCCAACGCATTGTCACCAAATAATATAATAAAATGTGGAAGAGATGCCATTAGTGCTGCTAACCACAAGGCGGCACTTGTGAGCCAGGCAAATGATACAATTGTCACTTGCAGATTAGAGTAGCAACACCCATGATCTTTACTCTTTGGTTCTCGGTAAAGTCACGTAGGTAAAAATAAAATAACAAAAATCACGACGTTTCGGCCACAACACAAGGCCAAGAGTATGGATCCTTGCAGTCACGAAAGCTTCAAATCTAGAATTGATAACCCCATGATCTGTCTATGACTATTGACGTATCGATCGCCTTTAAAAAAAATAAGCTCTCGGAATGTGGAGTGTCTTTGCGCATTCAGCGATAATTGTAATACCCGATGCACAAAAAAACCCATATTTCTATTATTCCAAAGTACAAATAGTCACGCTCTTCGAAATGTTGCCTTAAAATGCACGTTTAAAGGCCTTTACACGTGAGCGATTCCGGGAAACATAAAACAAGCCTTCGCAGTTTCGAATACAAATGTCAGAGGAGATAGGAATAGACACGCGCATCGAGATTCCTCGGGACTTGTCGGTGCCTTGAGTCTGCCCAGAGAGGGCGACTCGGCTCATCGGCTGCGCTATTCCCGGAGAAACATTATCCTTTGCGCTCCACGCGTCACCTCGTGCTGAAAGGAGCATTGGGGGCTCTCCTGATTTGGAATGTTTGGCCCATTACTCTTGTGTTTCGCGTGAGAATGAACTCCAAACGCGCGGAGGAAGAAACCGACGCATTCTCTGGCGTAAAAATTCCAACGTCGTATGAGCCATGACCTTCATCCACTGCTGGATGAAGGCCTCCCCAAGTCGTCTCCGTCTCTGACGGCCTCGCGATTCAGCTAGTGCACACGAGCGAATCTCGTCGCTCCATCTCCGCGGTGGACGCACCCTGGTGCGTGTTTCGACATCGTCGTAAGTCTCGGCTATCAACAGTCATCGCTTCTGGAGACGTATCCTGCCCAAGCCCACTTACTTTTATTGCCAAGCGGTATCTCTCCCCCTTGTGTATGTTCGCCCATCCGTGTGTTGCCCTTTCGGTTTTAAGTGTAATCCCAAACGTGCACATTCCCACGCTTCTTTACGCACTTTTCAGCCTTTGTCCCAATATCCATGTCACTGTCCGTGTCTCCAATCCACGTCTCATAGCAGATAATATACACGGCTTTGCAGTGCTGCTGTATTTTTGAACAGCTTTAGCCAGGTACATCGGCACTTTACGTCGTACGTAAAGTGTGGCTGTTCAAATTGGAGATTTTAAGTGATGTAACCCATTATCATCAATTTACCCCGTGCACAAGAAGACTCCACAAAACCCATTGCAGGGATAATAAACCACTCTCTGTTCTCCACGTGACTGGGACCAGACTTCTAGCTCACACCCATTAAACACCACCACATCACTGCGATCTTTATATCCCTCTGCTGGCTCCCAATGCAATCCCGGATCTACGACAAGGTCCCTTCCACACAGACTCGCCCAGCGTCTCCCTCTCTTCCACCATCCCCTCTCATCTCGCTCTTCCTTTCACTCCACGCACTCTCTGCTCCAACAAACGGAAACCTTCCGCAGAACCTCCACCTGGAACTTCCTCCCACTGGTCGTCTTCTCGACCAGATACCTGCCCTCGTTCATATCCAAGACTCTGACTTTCCTTCTCGTCTCTGGCTGTGATTGACTTCCGTCCCTCTTGTAGGAAACGTCTCTTATAGTATCTGCCTTCAACGCAGTTGTTCCGTTCGAAGCCACGTAGGCTCCGACCGCTTTACTCCTTTCCTGAGTAACCCCTTTCTTAAATGTTTCCATTTTCCAAGTCACGTGCACGCCCACCTTTCTTTTAGAGTTTGCTGAGATTCTGTCGCACGTAAGGCGCTGTTGTAAATCCAAAGATGCATCGTATTGTGTAAATCAGCTCGTGTGCAGCTGGATTATAGCGACGACTTGGGGAGGTCATCATCCAGCAGTTGAGTGACCATGGCTGACGGAGATTGCATTGCATGCACAGATTGAGAAGCTGGTTTCCGAGTTAACAAGCTGCCTGCCATTGGTGATATGGAATGGTTGTGAGCACCGTTGGGATACATTGTTTATCAAGCTTAAAATCTGACCTCCACGCCGCGTGACCGTATGTGTGCTGCTCATAGCAGGTGTTACATGCTATGGAGATCTTAATCCAACGCGGTAGATACATGGACACCTTACGTTCCCCTTGACATTTCTATTTAACGCGCTGAATAATGTATTTGGGGTTGAGTACACAAAGTCCAAAGTGAGTTACACAGCTCTGCCGATCGCAAACTATTTACGTACTGAATTCGAATATCCTGATTAACGGAACCCGCGGACAATATATGCCCTCTACTATATACACACACACATACGAAGCAATATCTTGATGAGGTTCACGAGTCCACTCGATTGTACATACAGTATTCTACAAAAAGCATGACATGCACGCACGAACCTTAAAATAGGGACGTGTAAAGAGAGCGCAGCGCAATTAAAAATTTAAGTCCATCGATTCAAAACCCCGGATCAAGTGGATAGGGGGGGTGGTGGTGGTGGTGGCTGCCTTGGCTGTTCTTGCGCTCTTGGCCACACATAAGAAGCGTCCCGGTGGCTCGCCCTTTGGAGAAGAGTGTGGGGGGTGTTCCGCACAGGCAAACGAATACATTAATGCGAGGAGGCGCCGCTCATTTATTTACATGGCTGTCGGCTCATCGCACTCTGGGCGTCCGTCACCGCGCCTCTGCTCGCGTAAATTGACTCGGGAACCCGTCTCCGGTTTTGCTTTTACAGGCGCCGAGTTCGTGCAGAGGTGCGCACACACTCTCACGCACTCTCACGCACCCCATCCTGTGTGAGATGCACACAGGACCCCTCCTACCGGGCGAACGCCGCCCTTATTAGAGTGAGCAACGCCACGTGTCTGCCAACGAGGAGCCTGAACTGCGCCAAACGAGGACCCCCGTGTGTCCCCCCCCCCTCCTCCTCCTCCCGTCCGTGGGAGAGCAAGCGGCTGCCTGGGTTCAGCGACACCCGCCTCTGCTCCTGGGAATCTCACAGCCCGTTTGCCCTGCAACACGCAACGATGTTCGCGTGTGGATCGACCACAAGGCGCGTTGTAACTTCGGGACGACCTCTCTTCCTCCTCCTCCTCCTCGCCTGAACGGGCACCCGAGCAAGTTTATTCTCGCAGCATAAAAAAAAACCTCAACGCAAGAGGCGTTACGAAACACCGGTGCTTCAATATTACACGGTGTTCCTGCATAGTGTCAGATAACAGACCCTTTTTTTTGGCTTTATTCCTGGTTCGCGCGCTCAGCCTGTACTGGCGGTGGATTTTTGTTCTTTAATTTGTGAGATGGGCTTGGAGATTTTGGCCGATTCATCCGGACCGTTTTCACCTGGCGGATAGAGATCGCAGCTGTCATGGCTCAAGGCTCACCTGCGCTCAGGACTCTGGCGGTTCTAGCCTTGCTGGGTAAGTGTGTTTCTGCCGTGTACTGAAATTGTACACGAGGACGTGCTCATATGTGCTTCTGTGACTGTCGTAGACTGCACAGTTGGCCACTCTTGGCAACTCTCCGTGCTTATATTCACGTCTGTCTCGTACACGGGCGTTCAAATAAACTAATTTTCGTATGGATAGAATGTTTGTGGAAAGTGCTGAGTAAACATAGTATACAGTATCCGCGTTGATTAGGCGCACTACCCTATGAATATGTCCACTCGAGTTCGATTCCTGGCCACGGCTAACATCTGTAGAAGCTGCTATGCGGACCGATCCGTAACGGTGCCCTTTATACCAGCCGTGATACAGCGCTGTCAAACACCCACGAAGGCCGACACGGCGTGGGGAAGTCTCCATCCAGCAGTGGATTGGCAAAGGTCTACAAAGTATCACAATGAAGCATATGTTATGAGGCCGCGTGGCTAATAGCGGTATGAACGAGATAGACGGATGGATACCCGTGGTACGGTAGGCAATTTATTTTGGGAATGACCACAGTGTTTAATCTATTTTAAGGTAGACGTTATACGTATTTATGAACGGCTGGATGGAGCATAATGTGCATTTAAATTATATTTTGCACAACTATTAATGTTTACTTGAGGGTCCCTTGAGAACAGCCAATTAGGTAAAACTATACAAATGTATTACACATGTAAGTAGATTACGGTGTACATATAAGATATGTGTGTGCATGCATGCACGTGAAGACGATGCTTAAAATAACGAACTTGAATCATTGGCATTGCTAATGTAGCTTGTTGCCTAGCAGATGTGTACCCACAGCTAAACTGGATAATAATGACACATTCCGTTGGATGCACATTTAAACAAAAAAACAGCGTCCTGAATATATACGTTATTCTGTTTCTCCATTATGCATGGCAAATATTAGCCTTTTAGCGTAAAGTAGTAGGATTACATATATTAAATACATCTGAAGTTAACCTTGGATTTATAATTTTTTAGCTCTGTATAGTCTGGCCAGCTGCTTATTCACGTCTTTTAAAAAGTAGGTTACCAATAAATTATATTTGGGTTAGTGGTGGCCTAGTTCTAGAGCATGTTCCATAACATTAACACATTTGGGTACGAGTCTGAATAAATGAAGACATTTAGAAAAAGGAGTGACCTCCAACCTGCTTTGTTCTTGACCCCCTATGGTTGATTTTCTTTCCCACTAATTGAAAGATGCGGCTGATAAATATGATGGGAATTCACACATAATTGGATACCTAGACTTTAAAGTAAAGGTACTGATGTCGAGGGGGTGAAGCAACAGTGGCGTAAAGAGCATTTAGGTCATAGTTTGTTTGAGGCTCTTGTAATTGTTATACTAACCAAGGACAAATGAACGTCAATGAGAACATTGGAAAGGAGGTCATAACCAGATAGAAGCTGACTTCTGACTCATTAGTCATAATAGAAACCTAATTAACGTTTAAATAATGCTTTTGTAATTTTCATAAACATCATGAACCATCATCTATCCTCTGATGGATGAAGCCCTCCCCAAGTCACTTCAATCTCTCACTGCCTTACAATGAGATCATTCATGTAGCTCCTGCACACGAGCTCAACTCTGTTTCCTCTTGTGGCTATTGTCCTTACATTTTTTTATTCTAAGACAAAGAGTACAGGTACTGTGTTATCATGCATTACTGGTAAAAAAAAGACACACACTTATACATTAAATACTGCCTTCAAGGGGTGCGCGAGTAGATAACCTCTTTGACCGTGACGTAGGTACGAATGCAGTGTAAAACGCGTTCACATTTCTGGGCTCTTTTAAAATTGCACCCCCAAGCGGCTGTGATGGCAATCTGCAAATGCTATGGCAGTCACTACGATGTCCATTGAGAATTTCCGTCACTCCTGGATCTTGAGTGCAGCTCTTTAGCTACTGTATTGCCTTAAAAGCATTGTCGATATGTAACACTTTTGTCGGGTCTGGATTGGCACTTTCACTCCAATCCTGACAACGTCGACAGCTCTTGGCATCTATGCTCATGCAAATGTACTTCTTTTTCTGTTTCTCTTACCTTCTTACTCAAGCTAATGTTGAAAGGCTTGTCAAATTGAAATGCATACGTGCATACATGTACCGTATGCACGTGTGTATTGACGTGCTCCTGGATTTGTGTATAGTAAATAGATTAATCAAATGCACTGCGTTCAATGCAAGCTTTTGTTTATTTTGTAACCTGGCACAATGGTCAGCATACTGCACTATGAACCCTGGTGACCTGAGTTTGTTTCCGATCCATTGCCGAAATCAGTGGTTAGATAAGTTTAAAATGGTCCTGGTTGGCCCCCACACCCCTATTCCTTTAACATCCACCACTGACCAGCATGGTGAACTATGGCCAAACAACCTCTATAACCTGCACGGTGTCCAGAGGCCTTAATCCTGCAGTGGATTGACAAACGTATATACATGATGAATGTATTGTCAAGAGGAATAACTTTGCATATACCAATGCAGTATCACAGTACATTATTACGGAACACATTAATTTGAAGGTCGGCACATATTTCAAATGAGGCCAGTTTGAAAATGACACAATACATTCGTTTTTAACAAGGACACCGATGACAGTGCAAGTGTAATACTAAATGACATTCCTTCATTTGTGCAGGGTGGCCTTTCGCCCCGGTCCGTATGTGCAATGAGCTGGAGTTGAAGAACAACCTCGACATGCAGTGCCTGGTCATGTTCAAGAGCCACATGGAGGAGCTGGGATCAGACTACTGGTGCGACTGGCTCATTATCAGCAGGTGCTTACTACACCCTCTCTTTTTCATTCAGCCAGTTGCGCTAATCAATCTCTTTCGGAGGTAGCACTCAGTACTTATTCATCATTTGCGATACACACTCGCGCGAGCGGTGCACAATTTTATAATAAAACACTGCATATGCCAGCAGGAGTAACATGACGTCCATAATGATGTCTGTGTGTGCACACCAAACACACATTTGAAAAGGTTCTGACACAGCCATGGAGGTGGTTATCCGCAGTTTTTATTTTCCAAAAATAAGTTACGTTTGAAAGTACATAGATTTTACAAAAAATAAAGTTTTCACTCAGTGAACAAAAGAAATATCTATAGAGAACTCTTCGACAACATATTAACCCATTGAATGTTTGCAAAATAAATCCGTTGCTAAAATCATGAAGTAAATAATTATCAAATGCAGTGAGCAAATAAGCTACTGCATATAATTTCGAAAAAGAATTCTTCAACCACCCATAATACTCAAAAGATATTACATTCTAATAATCAAGTACTGTTCATAGGTCATGCAGCAAGGACATTTATTTGTTTACATTCCACATTTTCTTAGATTAATAAAAAAATCTAATTGTGCGACTGGGGGTTCTTAAAATGTGAACACTCTTTTTGAAGCCCAGTATCCACATACAAATTGATATAAGAAAACAAGTAGTATAAGCAGCACAGCTCATCATTGTTTGAGCGTCAATTATATCGCCAACAGTTACAGAGGTAGGTTTAATCATGGGAATACTGAAATCTGATCTCCCTTCGTTGAGAGCAGTGTGACATATCCTGACAGAGAACAGTCCTTGAACAAGACACAGCAACTTGGCTTCCAGTGTTTCAATCATTCTATTTCCTGCTCTCTTGACAGCAATAATTCTATCGGGTATGAAATGGGACTCTAATGTCTTTGACTTCCTCAAAGCTGAATACATGTAGATCAAATATAAATTTAGGATGGCTACATTGTCAAACCATCAGTGGTCGAACTGACTTTAATAAAGTGATGCACATAAGTTACGATTGTTTATGAAAAGTATTCCTTACTCTGATTGAACTGCCCATAAAGCAAGTGTTGATATAATAAAATTTTTAAGTGGCATTTATTGCAATATAATTGTTTTCCACAACATTGCGATTTGAGAAATTGCTTTAATGTCATAAAACACCAAACCAAGAAGATGAATCCCTGCAGTCACGAAAGCTTTAAATCGAAATCTCTGAATAAATCAATTGAGTGGCTAAAATGGTTAATTAAATCTTTTTTATTTATTGGTGCTGAAAATTGGAATACCTTGAAATTGCTTTCATAAATATCCATGTCAGGTGTATATATTAATAACGACAAAACAAGGCAAATACACTTCTCTCCAATGTACTGCTTGATTAATAAACCGTGTATGTTAGGAACTTACAAGATAAGTAGAAAAAGGATGAGCTCCATTAACTTTCTCAGGCTCCGTGCTGTAAGGCTCTTTAACTAGTACAGCTGCTATTGCATCATAATACATGCTTTTAATTTACAAGATGAAAGTTTTATTGGATATTATCAGGATTAGTCTCCACAAGGTCAACATTGTACAGCTAATAAAACTGCTGCTCGTAAAAGACAGTCTATTTCATATGGAAATAACATCCCTACTTTGAGTCAATATGTATCAGTACATTTAGTATCATTGACACATAGAGCCAGTACAGATGGCACTTAACAACTGATGTCTTCAAGAACCAACACACAGGGTTGCCTGAAAGTCAGTTTACCGAGAATATAATTAAATTTATGTCTATCTCCATTAATATATGTTGTGATACCCTGGGGTAGAGCAGGGGCTAAACTATGAACCCCTGTTTCCTGAGTTTAATCCCTGGCCATAGCTAACATAAGATATGATTGAAAACCTGAACTGATCAATTGGCAAGGTCAAGCAATCTCCATGACTGACAAGGTGTGTGGGGAGGCCTTCATTCAGCAGTGCATTGGCAAAGGGCTGTACATTATCACGACTGCATTTGGCTTTCAGTGCATGAGTAGTATTGACAAGTCACATTGTTAGTATTGAGACAAATAGCTTTATATTAGACACACACCATTACTATATGATAATTGCATTGCATGTTATGGTGTGAATACTTTAATGGAGCTAAGAACTCAAAACAGCAATGCCTTAAGCTATATAAAATGCTTGGATATAAAATACTGAATAACTACAATTCCTTATTATTAAAGTATATCTATAAAGTCACTGCTGCAAAAGTTTGTGTTTCATTATTGTGTTTTAACATGTACCTTTTTTCATGATACGAGTTGAGTATTTACACGTACCAATGACATTCGTATTATGTATGGTACTCTTGCCTCGCAGTACATTGAGCAACATTGCGATAACGTGAATGTTATGTATCAATGCAATTGTGGCTGGACAAATTTTATTTTCGATATTGTCGTAGACAAATATTATTTTGGAAATTGCAGCAGCCATAAGCAGGGAAATTTGCTAAACGTGCAGATGCACGTACACAGAAACACATCTACCCAGTAATATTTTCTGAAAAGTTATTCAGCATATAATTTATGTATTAACTTTTCATAACTTCCACATTGTATATCCTGATAAACGTACAGTATAATGCTCTCCCATCCATGTATGGGGAAAGTGCAATATAATGGAGAACATTCGGATGCATTTTTGTCATCTTGTGTTATTTTAATCCAATCTAACACATTTGGCACATGGATGATAGATGATGAAAGTTATCATCAAATTTGCTTTTCTCAGACCCTTTTCACCTCTGAAAACCCATCGCTGCACAGGGTAAAGTGAAATGGTCTATCGCACGCAGCTTACATGCTGGCTTGGCAAAGAACGCCCACTGGGGCACAGATTGTAAGCTTAAGTACCTTCTCTGTCTTAGTCACTGCCAGAAACCCTACTACCATAAATAGAAGAGTAAACAAAATCATAGATGCGTAATCAGTAATTGTGAGGCGAGAGAACAGCACGTGTTGGTGTTGAGCATCCTTTGAAATTCAACAATGCCATTGCGTGGAGCACAGGCTATGTTATTGCTGCTTTACTCATTAAAGTTGATATGTGGACATTGTGTGCCACGGGAGGAATGGAAGCAATACTATGTTTTAAACTGAAACGTTCGCATAGCCAAGTGTTGGTTACTGCGAGTCACACAAATGGCGCAATTCACACATATTACACAAGTTCAGTATTAGCAGCGTTGTGATGAATGTAATTAACTAAAAAAATAAGCAGACACTTTGTCTCCTTCCAATGTCTCATTTTGTCTACTTATGTATTTAGTAAAATGTCGCCTTTTTTTTACACATAAATCCACACTGGTGAGAGGCTTGCCCTTTCCTGTCAATTGCGTGGCAGCAAATATGGACAGTTATATTGACATTTATTGAGCACACACAGATAAGATTCCAATAGGCACTTGGTGAGGTGAAGAGATTAACGCTCTCCAGAAAATGTGTACTTTACTCCAATAACTTATATATGTAAAAAGATTCAAACAGCATGAGTAATCTTGCGATGACTTTATAATAATGTTTACTTTATTGTGTACATTGAATCGCTGGAAAGGCTCTAGAGCAGTGGTTCTTAACCTGGGTTCGATCGAACCCCAGGGGTTCGGTGAGTCAATCTCAGGGGTTCGGCAGAGCCCCCGCCACGGAGGTCCGGACACACTTGAATTATTGTGTAAATTTGTGATGACACACACGGCCCGCTTGGCCATCACTGGCTGCAGATGATCATGCTACACTGCTTGGCCAATCAGCGCTGCGGGGAATTTAGTGCGTACTCAGTAGTCAACGTGTGACTGTTGTTGTCGTACGTCGTGTGATTTCTTTAATATTTTATCCATACTAACTATGTCGGGCAAAAGAAGAAAGTGGTCGGACGAATATGTACAACATGGATTCTCATGTATCACGGAACGTGATGGGAGTGAGCGTCCTATCTGCATGATTTGCAACGCCAAGTTGAGCAACTCTAGTCTTGCACCGGCAAAACTAAAGGAACACTTCTTGAAGCTGCATGGAGACGGGGAATACAAGAACACAACACTTGCTGAATTCAGGGTGAAGAGAGCCAGATTCGATGAAAGGGCCACTCTGCCTGCTCTTGGATTTGTACCTGTTAACAAACCGATCCTGACAGCATCGTACGAAGTTGCTTACCTGATCGCAAAGCAGGGCAAGCCACACACCATTGGTGAAACACTTGTGAAACCAGCTGCATTAAAGATGGCGAATCTGATACTCGGAACAGCGGCCGAAGGTAAATTATCCCAAATTCCCCTTTCAAATGACACCGTCAGTGACAGAATAGAAGACATGAGTAAAGACATCTTGGCTCAAGTAGTCGCGGATCTGATTTCAAGCCCGGCAAAATTCAGCCTTCAACTCGACGAAACCACAGACGTTTCTGATCTAAGCCAGCTTGCTGTTTTTGTACGCTATGTGAAAGACGACATGATAAAAGAAGAGTTTTTATTTTGTAAGCCTCTTACAACAACAACGAAGGCAGCCGATGTGAAGAAGCTTGTGGATGACTTCTTCAGAGACAACAATCTTTCATGGGATATGGTTTCTGCAGTTTGTACGGACGGAGCTCCAGTCATGCTGGGAAGAAAGTCTGGTTTTGGTGCGCTAGTAAAGGCCGATGCACCACACATCATTGTGACGCATTGTATTCTGCACAGGCATTCGTTGGCAACAAAAACCTTACCTCCAAAAATGGCAGAAGTATTAAAACCTGTGGTGGAATGTGTGAACTATGTGCGAAAAAGTGCTCTGAGGCACCGCATCTTCAGTGAGCTGTGTAAAGAAATTGGCTCTGAATTTGAGGTACTTCTGCTCCATTCTAATATTCGGTGGTTATCCCGGGGACAGGTGCTGAATCGTGTTTTTGCCATGCGTGTGGAATTAGCCCTGTTTTTGCAAGAGCACCAACACTGCCATGCAGATTGCTTCAAAA